AGTGCGCCTCCCAAGACACCTCTGACGCTGGCGGTAAGTTGGATTTTGCCATTTTTTGTGTGCGGTGTGATTCGAGTTTAATCTGACTGAAGCTAAAGTGACTGAATTGAGAGCCAACTTAACCAAGGCAAGGTGCAGGTTTATCAGTTATAAGCATTGATCATCCAGGTTGTGGGTGATGAGGTGATTTATACTCAAGGCAAATTCAGCGAGAAGAGGGCCCCCCACGGCCCACGCCGCGTACGCCAGTTGGGCGGCAAATTTTGCTGCGACTGCGAGCGGTGGCAATCCCCAACATGTCCTTGTCTATCACCGAATTCCATCAAAGTTTGGCTAGACTAGAGTCCATGTAACCTTCTTCATCAATTTCTCTTTCATAATCACACCGGTCTTCTCCATAACCTTACTCGTATTCATGATCGCCGTCCAACCCAGGCCAGCTCTTGCTGCATGCTGGCGGGTTGCGTCGGTCCGTTTTTTTTAACCGATGAGTGTTCCAAGTTCCAACTCTCTGTTGACCATTAATTCCACCATTTTCTCCAATTTTCTGATGCGGTCATCAATTGGCAGGGATGGATCATTTGTATTTATGGCGCTACTTCAGAAGTCTATCCAAACTTTAACCCGTAACTCCGGCGTGGAGATACCCTACTAAAACATACACAAAATGAATTAAATATTCATCAAATGTCCAAATAATAAACGTCATGATTTAAAACTTGATATTTTATTGCATGTTTCGTGTCAATTTTCTTATATTTTTCGTAGTATTTTTCCTAAAAACAAGGACTTCTAATATGCACTTTCTCACAGGATTCATGGCAAACTGCAGCACAATACAATTGCATACCGTACCGTACCGACAGTTAGCGACAGTAAACTAAGATTACAGTCGCTAACTGAACACATGCGCGCACCCGCACCCAACCGTTTTCATTTATCGGCGATCAGAATTTATTATTCCGATAGGGTTATAACACTATACACTGTAGGTAGAATAGTTGCACCCTGATTGTGGCTACACCGTCTCCTTATTCCTCTACATTTACATATAAAATTGTATATGGGTCATTCCAAGAATTTGGGGCAATTTTTGTGACATACCAGAAGTGAACTGTTACAATGTTTGCTCAAATTGAGTTTTGCATAAAATTAAAAGCATGGCCAACTACATGTATCTAGAGACGTCCTCAAGCTTCATGGTGAATCAATATTATGGACCTAAAGTTTATGTAATGTGAATATTCCGTCCATGTACATGTAATGCTGGTAAAAAGAGAAATTTGTATGAAGCAAAGATTTTGAAGAAAGGCATCTGAAACAGGAACAATTCTGGCACGGCACTACTATACATACATATTCATTTCATAAAAATCTTCAACAGATAATTTTATCTTCCATGTGTAGTACAGGTGAAGGAGATCTTGTACCAACGTTACATGTACATAGACACCGTCACATTTTTTGCCCCAACTTTTTGGAATGACCCATATTGGTCCCGACCCTATGTCAACTTCATTTCTTTAATTTCCTACAGTAATGAATGATTTCTCAAGATTTTCAAGCGATTGAAAAGATAAATCATAAGAACAAACAAATGTGTAGCCCCTAAGGCTAGGCATGTACTTATAAAGTTAAGCGCTAGGTGATGATATTGATATCACCTAGCCTTTAATTATTTGGCACCCATATCCTGCGTGAAGAGGCAGGTACATGTAAACCAAACCTAAAATGCGTTCAAAATCATCCCTTCCATTGCATGCTGGCTTCAGAGTTACATGTAGCTAGCGGACTCTTCTTTCTTCTCATATAAAGTCCATAAAAATCGGTCAAGACTGTAATAAAATAAAATATTTTGATACCAGAGTGATAATGATTTGATGTACCTTCCACTTGTTCCTGATGATAATTAGTAAAGGTGCAATTTACATCACAAAAACACAGACCTCTTATGAGAGTTCGCGATGTTGGTTCCAACTATAACCCTATAGCTAAATTATAATGGCAACCCTAACCAAACCCTTTACTTTTGGTGGAATAAAGTCAGAGCAACTGTCACCAGAGCTCTCATCTATCATCCACATAAGATTTTCATAGACCTAAAATGAAATATATGCATAAGTTTTTCTTTTTTTCCAACTATGTGTGCAGGAAAAATTCATCGGCATGGGGGTCATCAGTGCTGGCTGCCTCGTTATCCCAGGATACATCATGTCACACTTAGATGTCTACAAGGCCAGGGAATAAACCCAAAGTGGACTCTCTATGGAAAATCATTGTGCATCCAGATTCTATATATGTTCAATGTCGTCACCAGGAGACTTGGTCTGTGTCTGCAGACAAACATGTGATTGTCCTTTCAGCAATGACATGGTGCTCATTACATGCTATCATGATCAATATCACCAGGGGGGAATAGAATTGTCTAATTGAAGAAGCATTTATGCAGGAGGGAGGAATGAAGGAGAGACAGCTCTACATGGAACTTCATCCAGCTACAGTCCAATGGGCAGCAGGAGTCTACATTTGACTGCCACTGACTCAACACACAGTCTCACATCATCACAAAGTGTACCAGAAATCTTTTCTCTTTATGCTAATCAAGGAATCAAACATTGTCATCTACAGAGAGAGAAAATACAAGAACCTTACATGTAACAAGCGTCCATGAGAAATATTTCTAGTGCTTGAGATTGCCATTGTGTTTTCAGTAATTAGATCTTTGTGATACCGTTATTTATAGTGAGAGTAAATCAACGATGCACCCAAGTAATTATTCCAGAGCCAAGACATATTTTTCAGTGATCCCCCTCTGTTCCCTGTACAGTTTTTGTCTACAGAATCATGTTAACATAATTCTCTGAAATTTTGAAAAGAAATATAATCATGCCTGTGATTTCTCCAGCAGACACCTGAATACCTGAATGATCTGATGTAGTTTTGGATTTGCACAACTGCACATCACATCATGTTTATTCATCTTTCTGTGTGTTTTTGTAAATGACCAGTGTTCTGGTGACACATAATCATGCTCTATGGTGGAAATTATTATTAAAGTTTTGAAGTGAAGAAATTAATTTTGTTTTGTATTTTATTACTTGTAATGGAAACATTGTTTAGTCGTTAACAGTCAGCCCAGGTGTAGTAAGTGGGAAGGATTTATTCCTTGCATGCAATATGGTTGCTGTTGTAATGATATCCAAGGTCCTTCGGAAGCACAAGAGATGTATCGTAATATGATTTTTTAAAGACGTTTAGTTTAAAACACGTTTCGTTCAAGCGATTTTTTCGTCGGTCATAAAAATAAACTTGTTTAAAAACACAAACATGAAACGCTGAAAAAGAGGCGTTTTGTATTTCTGCAGAATCACGGTCGCTAAAATTTGATTGAACGGAGATCTCAATCATGATTCTATGGCGTCATTATCGTGGCCTGCTTTTCATGCAATCTGCGTTCACTGTACCATGCTCTTTATCGTGGCCTGTTCCCTTATGTTATTCTTTGTTTTTTATAATTCTATCACTTTCTCTTTTGTTATTCTTTGTTTCTTCCTTCTATCACCTTCTCACTCATTTTTCGTTTTATTAATGCGATCTATGCTCAAAACAGCAGTCGGCCGTAAACAATTCCAGAAAGCGCGCGCGCCGAAGTTGACCTATACTTCCTGGGTCATACTGCGCAGTGGGCTCGAAATGAGTGTTAATGGAAAATCACTTGAACGCTTTCCCCGCAGTGACCTTGTTTTATAACGGCATTTTGATTTGTGATTCTAGCTTCGAAAAATCGCTACACGTACACATTTGACACTAAATTTTATTATATTGAATATTATTCTTGAAATTAAAGCTCAGAATATTTTACTAGATTTTCTTTGATTGATCCAGAAGAGAACACAGCAATTGCTTCTTTACTTGACATGTCTGAAATTATGTCAGAGCACTATTTTCATTAATGAAAAATGGCAGGTGTGGTTCATGTCGGTAATTTTGTTCTTACTGTAATTGGTACACACAGATTTTGTGAAAAGTGAAATTTAATATTCAGAGCTCTTTTTTAAGGATAGCATTACAAAATTTTTAAAAAAGTAATAAAAAACTCTCTCCTCCATCTTTATGATTTGCTAAAGAAATTTTGCAGTTGTTGTGGTAAATAGAGGATCTCTTCATGTATTTCGCCTTCGTCATAGAGCAATTTTCCAAACCAAAGCTAAAATTCAAGTTTGATTTATAGCTTCACAAGTAGAAAGGACACTCCCTTAAATCTATGAACTTTGACATCTAATTAGTTTCATTGGCTCTGCAAGATATGACCCTAGTGCTAATGATCCATCAGTTCTTAAAACATTGGAGACATAAAAATGTCTGTGATCTCTGAACAATTCATTGACCCCTCCCAACAAAGATGAATAATTAATTTCACACTAAACACAGAGTTTCATATTAAAATCAACACATACAATGTACACTGGACAATAACTAGGCATGTTGTTATTTAATAAGTTTGTAATAACATCAAAATTATGCTCATTCCTAAGTTGTTGAGCGGGTTTAAGCCCCCAATATGGCCTTTGGCAAGGCATTAATCTACATTTGAGGTAAATGGGTACCTGGCAGGAATGCTAGAGCGCCAGGTAATAATTTAATTTGTGTGCCTGGAATAAAATTGTCTAGATAGACAGCGCTATATAAATGCCCATTATTTAGAGCTGATATTATTCCAAACAAACACTTGGTTTATACATTTATATCACTTTTTCAATATAATAACATAATCTCATAGATCGAGATAAAGACCAGTTATCAATTAGTAGGCGGTTTGTATCACGTATTAGTCAAAACATATTCTTTCACATGATTGTTAATAAAAGCTTCCATTTCATTCAATTTTCGAGAGGGGTTTTTGCCTTTACCTTTAAGCTTCATGTATACCTTGTCAATTCCTAATGAAAAAAAAATCTGCAACAGAATAAGGCCATGTAAAATTGATTTCATGTTGATCGTCCCCGCCCGCTTCCTTTTTGGGGGCCGCCTCCTATTTTTTGTTATTTGTTATTTTTTTTTTTTTTTTTTTTTTTTTTTTTGATTTTTTTTTGATTTTTTTTTTTTTGAAAGAAAAAAAACATGAAAAACACTGCTAAAATGGCTCTATTTCTGATTTAAAAAAAAAAAAATTGTCGGCGGCCATCTTGAAAAAAAATAGCCTCGACTGTCAGGGAAAATGTACCGAGCGGCCATTTTGAGCGGCCATTTTGAAATATCAAATATCAAATAACATGGTACACCCTCCTCCTCTTTTTCAAAAAATCCGGACGATCAACATGTAATCAATTTTACATGGCCTAATCATACAGAGCCCCACCTTCATGAGATTCATATGACTCGTGTAAATACCACAACATCATCATAAGTCACTGAATCCTGTTTTGAAGGTACATGTACGTCCCAAATGTTCATGAATTAAAGAAAGTGTGCCTTGTACACAGGATTCCGGATATCGTAGAACTCGGGGTGTGTGAATTGCAAAGTAGAGATTAGGTAGTTTAACACAGCATGATTAGATTAATATAAAACCGTTATATTCCGAGCCAGTATACAAGTTAATGTGAGTTAATGCCCTTCTGGCTCCAAATGGACGGTATGGACTTCAACCCGTTTTGTACATGTATCCACCAAGCTAATCTTATTGTTTATTGACATGATTTAGGTATAATGTTTGAAAAAAAGAAATGCAATATTCTTGATAGTTATATACGATGAATAAGTTATACCGGTAAGCATGTATGTTAAATAGTTAATAGATTATCTCAATTCCATAAATACAGTCACTCTATATTTTGGTATAAAATACTTTGATAACATGATTTATAACAGTTTGATCTTTTCAAGATCTTCAAAATTTACTAAATCAATTACATGTACTTATGATTTCTATGGCATTAATGCAGACATTCGTATGTTTAAATATAAAGCACGTCTATACAATAATGAAGCATGCATGACTTCAAGAATTACATTTTATGATTTTAGTTGACAAAACATCAGAAATATTCATAGAAATTTGTGCAAGATATCGAGAATGCTGTTAAGAGTTATTATTATTAAGTAGTAGAATGTTCTTCTGGAAATACCACACATAAGCACTACAGAACAGAACTTGGCATGGGAGCCTGTCCATTCCGTCTAGGGTCTCACAAAGAAAGGTGTGTACGTTCCTGGTTCGGCATCTGGAAACTGAAATAGAAAGATTCAATATTTTCAGAAAGAGGCGTCTTCATAGTAAGGGGTTTCTTTGGGATCTGAGGGGGCATATTTTCTTTGATAATCGTCCCTCCCCCCCCCCCCCCGATGTGTATACTGAAAAGGAAAAGCATGAATGAAACTGCAATAAAGTTTTATCGTTTTCTTTAATATGGATGCATTAACATATATGTACAAATGTTGTGTCCACATATACTTTGATTATTCTAATAGGAATCATTTTGTTTCTTGCATAAAGTAATTTCATTTATTTTATTTAGCCCTGTCTCCTAATGGATCATGCAAAATGGGCAAAGATATGTTTTTTGATGTTTAAAGCAGATGCCCTACAGTACTGTTTTAAGGCCACATCTTGGGCAGATAAGTAAAAATTTGCTGGTTTGTGCTATGGAGAAACCCCATTTCCTACAATCCTGGATCTACCATTGTGTATATGGGAGAATTTAAATCCTCACCCATTTTGTGAATTGGTCGACACAGGCTAGTCTAATTCGTTCAGCCACTGCTGGACTGTGGAGCATGAAGTTTCCCAGGCCTTCATCAGATCTGGCCGCCAAGATGGCATCCTTGATGGCGAAGAAGACAGAGGAGCCAAGGAAGAGAGGAGGCTCACCAACAGCCTGTTGGGTAGAAGAATAACATTATCAGATACTATACTCAGATCAATTACAAGCTAAATACTTCCAAACACATTACAGGCCATGAAGATAAAAAGTTGATCTTCTCGTAAGCCTTTTATTTTCATTCTTTTTTTCACAGAGAATTAAGAATAAGATTGATTACTATTTGATTACTTTTTTATAAGGAAAAAGAAACCGAATGGTACACTTGGATATTCTATTTAGCAAATTAAGAAAGGAAAACAAAAAAAGTGTAAAATGAACGTTATGCAAGCACATTTTACTTTTTTTTTACATCATATGACATTATTGTCTGTTCCGAGCCATTCTTGTAATATTAACTACACTGAAACTTGCCTTTGAAGAACAAGTGTTGTTATGGTTTGCGGCGTTCTGCAGGAGGGACACGTTGAACTCTGGAGGTACATCACCAAAGCCTGGTATCTTGTAGAAGCCTGGTCCCCTGGTCAGAAGGTGACCCTTAGGACTCCATCGGTGGTCTTCAAGGGTGAACAATCCATAGCCCTGGGTAAAGGCACCTTCAATCTAGGGTGATGAAGCAGAATTACAGACGGAAAGAGATATTAGCACTGCAGAACTTGGGCCCAAGAAATATCCACAATTTTAGAATGTATTACTCATGTAATTATTGTCGCTAGATCACTATTAACACCGAAGGACCTTTGGGCCGGAATTTTTTTTTTTCTCTCTCCAAAATTTAGCCTTCAAATCTTTTGGGGGGACAAAGCGGGACATGTGGGGGATGTTAATTGTGAGCACATGGACGTGACTAAACTTTTTTTCATAAGTAACGTTCTATTTGCTCATAATGAATGTAACTAAATGAAAGGCTTTTAATCATGACCCCCATTTGTCCCTTAAAGGTACTATGTCCCATTTACACGCCAAAAAATGAAAAGGTAAAATTCCAACGGCATTTGATAATACTAATTTAGAACTTCCCTAAAAAAAAGGGGGGGGGGGGGCTTGAAAACGTCTGTAAGTGGGACTATTAGTTGTCGAATTGACTTGGGTGCTTCCAGGTAAGCAATAGTCTGATTTTCAAACCATTGTACTGATTGGTTGTACGTTTTGTTCTGGCCATTACAAGAAGTGGGTTATTGATGCAGACAAATGTTCATGTACCTTTTACAGCTCATTTTATGTATGTTATTACCAAAGAAGAAACTAGATGGAATTCGACTGCGCGCAGTCGAAAATGATGCCTCCGTCATAGAGCAATTTTACAAACCAAAACAGAAGAAATTTTTCAAATTCAAGTTCAATTGTAATCCATTAACAGGTTCTCAGAATATCGTGATTACAAACAATTTCTCATATACATATATGACCCTTTGAACTTTGACCTCATGATCCTAATATCTACTCAGCTCATTGGCTCTGCAAGATATCCAGAGTTAAATAGTAATCCATCTGTCAGTTCTAATGAGAATGCGTTCACAAGCTATTTTTGCATACATAATGAGCCCATGACCTTGGACCTTATGAACCAAGAATCTACACAGTTCATTGGCTCTGCAAGATACATACATGATCTAAGTTTGGCAGGAATCCATCAATCTGTTCTAATGATAACGTGATCACAAGCTGTTTTTGCATACATAATGAGCCCTGTGACCTTTGACCTTTGACCTCGTGACCCCAAAATCTAATCAGTTCATTGGCTCTGCAAGATACATACATGACCAAAGTTTGGCAGGAATCCATCTATCGGTTCTTCAGATAACGCGATCACGAGCCGTTTTGCATACATAATGAGCCCTGTGACCTTTGACCTTTGACCTCGTGACCCCAAAATCTAATCAGTTCATCGACTCTACAAGATACATACATGACCAAAGTTTGGCAGGAATCCATCAATCGGTTCTTCAGATAACGCGATCACGAGCTGTTTTTGCATACATAATGAGCCCTGTGACCTTTGACCTTTGACCTCGTGACCCCAAAATCTAATCAGTTCATCGACTTTGCTAGATACATATATGACCAAAGTTTGGTAGGAATCCATTGATCCGTTCTTCAGATAACGTGATCACGAGAACGGGACGTACGTACAGACGTACGTACAGACGTACGGACGGACGGACGGACGGACAACCCGAAAACATAATGCCTCCGGCTACTTCGTAACGGAGGCATAAAAAAGCCAGTCACTCACTCAATAATGTCTGATGGTGAAGTCTAGCTAGTAAACCCTTGCATAATTTGAATACTAGGACACTGCTATTAAATTTCACAGATAGGACCATACATGACATATCATAATTCCTGCAAAGTTCTACAGAATTTGGTGACATAGTATCTTTAAAGTTGCGTTTTATTGCAAATTGAGAAAATCTGAAAATCAGTTAAGTGACAATTTTGATCAAAACCGCTGTTTGTCCTTTCTTGTAATTTTCATTCACACTGTTTCATGTAATGAATATTTAGATTTGTCTAAATTGGAAAATTGGAAAATACAAACACCTGATTATTGTTGCCAATTTGAAGAGGGAAAGCAGATTCAAAGATCTTTAAAAAACTTGAACTGCTCAGGGATATCAAAATATGATGTGATTCAATAACAAAAAGATAGGGAGAATCACTAATCATGTATACCTGGCCGATGTCGATGGCAGGGTTGATGCTGTTTCCGACATCCATGACGATGTCCGTCCTGAGAGTGCGATGATCTCCAGTCAGGCAGTCGATCTCCACTTCGGACACACCCACACCCCAAGAGAAATAATTGAACAGCTTGCCTTCGTTCTTCTCCCAGTCATACGTCAGATCAGGGGTCCTTTAATATCAAGGAGAATGTCTAATGGTTTATCACACAATTAACAAATGAAAAGATCCACACAGGTACAAGCTGAAATACAAAGTCTTTAGCTTTATTCACCAATTCGTAACAAATCTTTGATATAAATAATTTGAGCAAGATAAAGAAGTACAAATTTTTATTTGATTCATAGGTTGTTATTTAACAGCAAGATATGAAATTAACAAAATAGAAACAAAATTGCAACATTATTATAGCACCAACATTTTGTTACAGTCTGTGTATTTAAAGAACATGAACAAAATTGGAAGGAGCAAAGATACTGTTTGTAATTAGTATTCATACCAATTGATTCATGCACTAGATACACAAAGATAAATAATGGTAACTTACTTGTAGAAACCTGTACTAGATAGGCTCACTCTGTCCCTATATGCTGCATCAACCTACATCAACAAAACCATGAATTTTTTATTTTTAAAATAATTCTTACACAACAAAATGTCATAAACGTGGAAGTGTGGCAATAGTACCGTAGATGACGGCATCATTTTGAGAAAATATCCACAAAAAATGTAAAGTAAGCAAAATGATTCATAAGAAATAAACTATATACCGGTATGCATATATATTCTATGTGCACTGCAACAAAAGATAATAGAAGCATCATATACCACAAAATTTTGAAATAGATTTGAAATATTAGTTGTAATAGATTTGAAATATTAGTTGTAAATAACTAAAGTGGTCGATTTGTGAATTATCCTATCTTAAACTTACCGGTAATTGAAAATAAAGAATACATGAGAGAAATAGCTTATAATACAAGTTTTTATTTCATTTAAAGGAATAGCTCCCCACCCCTGCCCCCCCCCCCCCCCCCCCACCCCATCCCCCCTAAAAAAAAGGTAGAAGGAAAGTGGCTAGTACATGTACCTTTAAAAGATAAGACTTACCCACTCATCCCAGTTGCCTTTAGGGCTGGCATGCATGTAAGGCTCTAATCTCTGTACAAGAGTCTGACAAGCATTCTGTGGTATACAGAAAAAGAAAAAGAAAAGTTAAGAAAAGTTGAAAGCGATGTTAACAAATTGTTGTTTAGTTTTAATACCTAAGGTGCTATATATGAAGCATATACTAGTTTGTAGAACTAGCACTAGCAAGTACACATGATAGAACAAATGGCTTCTGGTCCTATGCAATGATAAGATGATCTTAACAAACAAGTTTAAAGCAGAATAACTGTGTATTAAAACAGAATTTTAGTGTTTTTATTTTTAGAAAAAAATACATTCCTAAAAGTCACTCTGTGTTTCTTTTCTTGGTTATCTAGTGGTCCATAATACTTTGGATTGATTTGCATCAACAAAACAACAAACAAAAAATTGGACCTGAAGAATATTACCTTCCAGAGGTTTTTTTTTTTCATTTGACTTAGTCCATGGCCAAGGTCACTGAAATATAGCCTTAAATCTGGACTCGACTAAATCCCTGTTCAAAATGATTGGCGTTTGAGGAGTGGACATACCTCGATAGCCCTGCCGTTGAGATCAGACCCAGTGCTGGCGGCCGTGGGTGAGGTGTTGGGTACCTTACTGGTGTCAGTCTCTGACAGGTGAATCTTACTCTCCGGGATACCTAGAGTTCTTGATGCGACCTGGATCATCTTGGTATGAAGCCCCTGACCCATCTCAATCCCACCGTGGGTCACCAGGACGGAACCATCGGTGTAGATGTGGACAAGAGCACCGGCCTGGCAGGGCAGAGAAATGGTGGTGGTCAAAATTAGAAGTTACCAAACTCATTTTTAGTCAAAATCAATACAAAAGATGAAAAATGAACAATGCATTTATAAGCTAGAGGTTTGAATAAATGGTCTCCCACCTCGGTCACATCACCAAACCAACTTCCTCCATGCTGTAGGTGGCAAATCCAACCCAATAAATTGATCTACAGACAACTAGGTATGTTTAAAGTATTCATCTTGAAACAGAACCAAGTTCTTTGATAAGTTTATAAGTCTGACAGGCAGAAATAAAGTTCATTTATGATAATTTTTTAGGAAACTCGGAATTAAAAAAAAAAAAAATCTCCACATGGCGACTGACCCTACATGTCTTTATTTAAAAAAAGCATGAACAATTATTGGTTATATCCATCAGACATTTTTTCCACTTAAGAAGAACTAAATGATCAGAAAATCTATTATGTCCCTTGAAGAAACTGAAATATTCTGAACTGACTGTCAAAATAGAGCAATAAATTGAAAATTCTTGTTTTGTGAGATTTCTCCAAGAATCATATGTTTCTAACCTGGTTCAGGAAGCGAGCAGTAAAGGCTATACCAAACTTGGTTGGAGTTATGGCAAGACCTCTCTTCTTCCATCTGTTCTCACTGATAACAACAAAATAAAGATATGAAAGATAAATGGCTACATACATTGCGTTAAAAACCACATAATCTTTGAAAATCATGTAATTGGTTATTGTAGGCTACCTGTTATTTTACTGAATATTGTATTCCTTTGTTTTCCAGATATCTATGAAATGAACTGAATGAAGTTTACAAAAAGGCTTCCAAATCAAAAAAAATTAAATCCAAGCAACTGAGAATGTTTTGATCTATTAAATGACTCTATATAACAAATAATATTTTGAAAACTTAAGACCAGCTTATCCTATCAGAGTTTTATTCCAAACCACAAACAATAATTCTCTCTATATGCCATTAAGTATAATACCTAGAAGATACACAATTGCCTTTATTTCTACAGGATGTATGACAGCCAAACACAGAACAACATACAACAGAGGAGGCCCCATACTATGTAGCATAAAAAGCCTAAAATAAGAGAGCCCCCAAAACAGAGAACCCCCAAAGCAGGTCATTCCGCAAAGGAAGGAGTGGACATCACTCCCCTATTAATGAAGTACTACTCTACACCAACAGGTGGTATTTCTAAAGAGGGTGGCCACTCGTTAACCCTGTGACATTACCTGTTAAAAATATCCACATTCTTCCTTCTGGTTTCATAGTTGCTCTTCTCAAGGCACTGGTCCCAGCATCGTGTCAGCTGGCATCCAGTCAATACCTGCTTACATGGGGTCACATCACCTTCCGTATAGAAGTTCAACTCTCTCACCTACCACGAAAAGGAACCAAGTATTAGTCACTCACTCATAACCAACAATTCAATTACTGTCAAACCTGCTTATAGTGACCACCAGTGTAGAAGGATCACCTGTCTATTAAAACCACCTTTTTGTTACCATTGGAAAAAAAATTGTATTCCCATTGACACTTACATAAAGACACATAAATAACGCTTTTCTTGACTCCCTTGAGCCGTCTTTGCATAGTTATAAATGACCTATAGGTAGCCTAGCAAATTTATGGAATGAATAGATGCATACAGAATGCAAAGTGCACAACTGTTCAAATCTTGATTTATGGCATAGGGGTGAAACCATATCATTACAACACTGGGCAGATAAAATTCTCTCCCACTTTGAGAAGGCTAAATAATGTCATCCATTTACATTACCGTAAATGAAAATTTTCAATACACCAATATCATCAAAACAGTTAGGTATGCATCTTATCTGCTTCTTTGCATATTTATCTTTCTTTAATAAATTCATCTACTCCTCTATTCCTTGATTAATTTTAAATTGCCTGTTTGACTATTGTCTTCTTGTGTATTCAATTATATGTGCACTCATTAAAAAAAACTCATTTGTCTACATCAATTCTATTGGTCGCAAGTGATACAATCGATGATAAGCAAACAGTATTTGGTCAAAACTTATGCACCAAATAAAACATGGATTCAAAATCCATGATGTTTTTCATTAACAAACTAACTTTAAACAAAGAAATGAATATTAATTTGTCAGTTGCAGGGAACATTTTGGCAAAATACTAACAATAAGTGATTTAATTAGATCTCTAAAATCATCTAGCTTCACGGAAGAGCCCTCAGAAAACTTCATTAAAAAAGGACAGTTTGAAAAGCCTATCATGATGAAAGGAAGACATATGTAATTATACTATTATCAAAGCCACCAATAACCTTTTACCTTTTCTTGTGAGAGCCCTAACTTGATGGCGATGTCTGTCATGAAGGATTCACAGATGACCATCGCCTGTGGCCCACCAAAGCCTCGGAATGCTGTGTTGGACGGTAGGTTGGTCCGACAGAGACGACCATAGACCCGCGTGACAGGGAAGTGGTAGACATTGTCAATATGAGTCACTGCTCTTTCCAGTACCTAGGAGTTTGAAGGATACAATAAAGTTTGAACTACATCCCTGTCACGTCAGGTTTCTCATCAGTATACACAATCGTGGTGCCCTTACCAATCACATGGCAATGACTTAGACACCAAGGCAATTATTTTGTAATTCTCCAAAAAGAACCCTGCCCCCTGCTCTGTATTTCCCATAATTTAACCTAGGGTGATCAAGTTCTATTGAGAAGCTTGGCCACTATGCTGGGTTGTCTAGACTTATCTACATTTATAGACCTCTAAAAAAAAACTTATTTGGAGTACTGAAAAGGGTTCATAATTTATGATTAATCCTTTTGAAGATGATGGGATTAGATCTCATCGAGAGTCAGCTATCTATAACTTAAAGATAAACTTGGTCATCTAGCATATAAGTATTGGTGTGTACTGCAAGGTTCTGGAATCATCAAAATGATAATAAACTTGACCCATGTAGTCTTGGTAAAGTTGCAAGCACTGTACACAGAAAGATGTATATGGGACTACACAAACAAATGGCATTAAAATCTGTCCTGATTTTTATGCTGCTACATGCCATATTTAGAGTATTAAGGCATTTGAAGAGCCATGCTTTTCGGGGAACATTTTTTATCTGATATACTTCCACACTTGCATAATACCAATGATAATGCTCACAAATTATTTGTCACCTCTTCCCAAAACCTTCTCTTTAATGATATACTATCATTTCATCGAGGAGGGCAAGGGGGAGGAAGAGAGAATGAACGACAGTGTTCACTATCCCACCAACTTCTATTAACAACCAGCAGGTGGCCACGTGCTTAACCAATACCTACACGTTTCTTTTTCTTGATCTACAAGGTTTTTTTTACTAAAATGGAAACACAAGAGCCTGTGAGAGGACATTCTATAGTACTTACAGCAGCAGAGAGATCATAGCTGAATCCAGCATTGCCATACATCTCAATGTCCAAAGCAGTGAGTTTGCCCTCGTTGGTAAAACCAACCTTGTAGCGACCCAGGAAGGGATTCCTACCTCCTGTTGACATCATGTCCTCATCTCTGTCCATCATAAACCTCACAGGTCGGTTCAGTCTAAGGAGAATTATGGTAAAAATAGCAGACATGATCACATCTGAATTGATAAGCAACATCTGAATTGATAAGCAATTTGTCTCTTAAGATATGAAGTAATGAATATGATTATACTCACACTCCAATGAACAAATGATCAATCCCTTTCAATTTTTTTCCTATCAGGTACAATCCGTTGGTAAAGAGAATGTCTCTCATCAGGTTTTTTAAGGTACAAGCATTTTACTTTCAAGTATAAAAGATCATATGAAAATAGGACTGGTAAATCTAAATTTATTGCATACAGTTAGTCTCTTTGAATCTCACAGATATGAAGATATGAAGAAAACCCGGGTAGCCTACACAGTGAATCAATACGATACATGTAAATATCAACCGGCCTTCAAACTACATATTGACTGGCCCTCAAGTGCGTTTCATAGGGAAAACTTGCCAAAACTCCCACCAAAGGCCTCCATCACTTGCATAACGCTTTGCTTGCCCACCAGCTATCAGGCTATCTGATGACGTCATGCAAAAACTCTATACCAAGTAAAAATGAGCCAATCTGGAGAAGTTTCTTTGTAATTCTAAGGAAGTGCTTTACACAGGTCACTGCAATCGTGTTCCCCAATCAATGTGTGCACCCATGCCTAAAGCTAGAGTGAAAGACAGAGGAATAGGAGAGATAGAGAGGGAGAAGGAAAGAGAATACCGGTACACAGATGGAATATGGTAATCTTACTTGTTTGCAGCCAGAGCACTTATTGCAGCTAGCATCGAGCTTCTACTTTCCTTGCCTCCAAACCCTCCTCCGATCCGCTTGGTACGACATACAACACGATTGAATGGGATACCCAGAGCTATGGAGGTGATTTTCTGTAATGGATGAAGACAGTACGAGCCTTACAAGTCAAGACAATTCTCATAAATTAAAATTTAAAAGAGAACTATGACAAGCTACTTTTAATCACAGATGTAATTTTCAATTTACATCATGGATCAGTCAAAAAGCATTTTATCAGAGAAAAAAAACTACACTAAAAATATTATAGTACTGAGAATATCAAAAGTGATTATGTTAATCGCTCCATAGACAAACATGTCACAATAATTTTACAGCTTCTTAAAAACAAAAAAACTTGCTTAAGGGAGTTTCTTGGCAAGTGTGCACAGTGTTTATCAAACCTGCTTTAATGACCACCTGTCTACAAAGCCCAAAAGTGTTTCCCTTGAAAATGGTTTCTCATTGAATCATGTACTAAAGGAACCTGTCTACAAAGGCCATTTTTTTTCTTTCCCGTGGGTGCTCGCTATAGACAGGTTTGACTGTACCACTAAACAAATCACTCAAATTCATTAAACAAACTTGAGCTTCTGTGGGATGTTGTGTCGATAGGAAGATCTCCATCTCTCCATCCTCTCCTTTAGGGATGGCAAAGGCACACTGCGTCTCAAGGTAGAAATGCTCTTGACCTCCGACCTTCATCTCACCCTCGATCACATGATCGGACTTCTCCAAGGCCTCTGCAACATTGCCGTTCTGTAAGCCTTTGGTGATAGGGAAGAAAGACTGCTTGGCAATGGCATCCTGTTAGATGCAAACAGAACAATAATGCATTGGAGAGAACATGAAGTAACATTTTACATTGACTGGCCTTGGCATGGAGCAGGTATCTTAGTATACTGCTGTAGTACTGTAAATAAATTGGGAAAGTTGAAGATGAAGGCAATATAAAACTATCATGGGCCAATCTAATCCCTTTTGCAAACATGAGGCTCAAGTTCCTAGACATACTGAGCACTTAAATACATATGTACATCATTAATGAGAAGACAACTCAACTGTCCAAGTGTAAAGTTATGTATAAAGTTATTTTATACATGATGGAAGGCCTACTTTTCCTCTGCAAGTTTAATAGGTCAGAAATGTGATTAAACTTGCTGGTATAAAACGTGCAAACACTTTCCAAATATTACTGAAACATGAAAAGACACATCCAAAATGCAAAAGGTAAAAAAAAAAGTTGTAATTTGACAAAGCTGAATGAAACTTTAGATAAAACTAAGCCTAATCCAGATAGTATCTATAAAAAACCATCTCCATGTCCCAACAAACTTATGATTTTGCGTTCCGGACATATCTCTTTGATCCAATACAATTTGCCAGCTACCTATAGTGTTAGAATAAGACTAGAACTCACCTCAATAGTAATAATAGGTTCTAATTCCTCATACTGTATCTGTACTAGTTTTGCTCCTCTCTGTGCCAAGGCCTGTGTGTCTGCTACTATAGCTCCTATTGGCTGTCCTACATGGTGAACCTGACAGAAATTGAAAACATTAATTTAAAGAAATCAAGGGAATATCAATCAACCCAAATATGTTCTGGGTTTTTCTCTTCGTACATTCTTTTTCTTCATAAGAGATACTACAGATACACCTGCAAGAGCAATTAAAATTCAAAATATTTAAAATGTGTTTTTTTAATTTTTTTTATATAAACAATTATACTGCCTTCTTTTCGAGGTACTGGTTATAACTATGGGCCTCGGTGACTCAAATAGTACTATTGGATTCACTAATGGAAACTCGCAGCACAGGGAGATTATTTGTGTTTAGAGTTACATAAACTTCAGGACCATCAAATTGTCCTAATTCATTTTACCTCTGTTGATGCCAGCAGCTCTTCGTCACGGAACACAGATCCTACTTGATTACTCCCCAACACATCCTTGTGGCTTACAAAATCATGCACGCCCTCTAGTGACAGCGCCTTGGACGGATCAACCGATCTGCAAGGAGATGAAAGAGAAAGGGATTACCAGACAAGCATGACCTACTTCTGATAAGTACAACATGGAGTACATTGGATATAGAGTGCTTGAGGAAAATACACAAAGACAGAAAACCAAAAAAACAATGTGCGGTCAAAACTGAGTCGTGTGTACAGTGACAATAATATGTAATTTGAAGAACAAAGTTACTTTTCACAATCTCTAGGATATAATTGTTATTATACAATTACTAATTATCTACTTACATGATTTTTGCATGTGCTTTCTGGCTCATGACAAAAGCCAGATACAGCTCACCTGAAACAGATAGAAAGAAGAGGTCAAGATAATTGTATTTTAGGGTAAATACAAACCTACATTATATTTCACTGTTTAAAACACATAATAACTTCTAAAGTAGACCAAATGATTAAGAAGAGGCTTAGATTTAAAGCTAAATTAGGAAATAGCAAACTTTTCATTTGATTAACACTAATCGGCGAATGCTTGCGAACCTAGCAAATATGGGGTTTCGCCGGGTTTCGCCGGGGTTCGTAAAAGTTCCAAGAAACTTTGCAATCGCAAACAGTCTTTCTTTGCGAATGTATTTTTCCACAAGTTGCAAAAGCTTTGCAAACGGTTGTAGGTGTCGCTGAAGTTTTTTAGATTCGCCTTCCTACATAAAATCGACCCATTAAGTTAGCAAAGGTCCCCAACATTCACAAAGGATTGGCGATAGTTGCTAATCTTCGCAAATTGTCGCTTTTACAAACTGCCTTTCGCAAACACACTTTCATCCAAAATCGCAACGTTCGTTAGTGAGATACATGTTCTTCATATACTAATCAGCTCTTGGTAGCATGTGTCTACAATGTTTTCATTACGATACTACACCACTAAACTAAGTGTACGTGTAAGAGTTCTACTGTTATAAAAACTGCTTTCAAGTCGAAAAGCAGCCCACTTAGCACTATTACCAGTGATTTATGCCAGCAGAACAGCTGGAATAAATACTAATAATAAACAAGGCCAACACACAGACTAGTGTGATTGATGTGTTATTGATGTGTGATTGTCATGCAAACCCTAGTATGTCATTAGCTGAATGTTTTCATGTTCAGTTGTGTATACTAGACTTGCATGCTGGCCTTGTTTGCTCACTGCATCCACTACATCAATTAGCACAGGCAGCTTATATACCCTCTCAATTTCTATATCTCGTTTTTTCTGGTTACTTTTCAGTAGTTTTACTTATGACCACCCCATGGGAGGAAGAAATGCATAAACATCAGCTTGAGCGTGAATAAAAACATGTATTTGAATGATTAATGAACCTCAAATACCAACCAAACAAGAGATGTGACCTATAAACCTCTAAATTATTCAAGCAGGCTTTATATGTCCACACAGGAATGTCTTGGGATAGACACAAATTATGCATTCAAACCTATTGATGCTCCTTCACCCAGCCAAGATTAATGAACTAGCATTCTTGTATTCTTGACTTTCTTGTATCTCAATTGTCAGCAGTTGGAATGCTGTTACATCTGAAAAGTTTTAGTAACCAATATACTGTGAGCTGGTCTATTATGAATGATTCTTCTCCCACCTGTTACAAGATATTGTATTTTAATATATGCAGTTTGCATTCTGACTGTTGAAATACAATTATTCATTACAGGTGAATGAAATAATTTGTAACAAGACACTTAACAAAGGTTTGTAGATTAAATGGCCTATTGACTTGCATGTACATGTATAATTTATCGAATCCCATGGTATAATGAGCAATAACACCACTTTATCAATGTCCTAAGGAATGCCCTAAAGAATGCCCTAAAGAATGCCGTAGACAAATGACTTATATCACAAAGAAATGATCATCAAAAGTTACTTAAAAAGGGAACGTTACTTAAAAAGGGAACGTTTCTTGCTTTTCTTGGTATTACCACCAATTGTTTCTGCATCTCACCTGCTATACTAGGCATATCATCAATGTAGATTGCTTCCCCGGTGGTCTGTTTGTAAGCAGACTTGTGGACAAGTGGACGTCCAACAGGATCTTGTTTGGGTTGTCCTGGGGCAACCTCCTGTTGGGAGCAAAAATAGTTTGTCAGAGGTCTTTTGCTTTAAAAAAAGTACAGATAGATGCATGACTCATGAGCCAGATGTTTGAACATTACCTCATAACATAGAATTTTTACATTGGGGGCATATCTAATATTTCATAAAAGAGAGCACAATTCTGAAAAATCTGACACAATTATTTGTTTTTTAAAACAACAACACCATAGAGTATCACATGTTTCAGGTGTATTTTGGGTCTAAAATATGAACAAGGGCACAACTGTTTGTGAACTCAAATATGTATGAGTGCATTTTTTTAAAGGAGGGGCATACAAATATCTGTACATCAAATGGCTCTGATAAAATCCCTTCTCATCTAAATTACAGAGATAAGACAGAATGATGGAAAGATGGAATCATTCACATCATTTTCATCAGAACAGAAGCTATGGGGAACTCTAAACATAACATTGGAGCTAGCTTGCAGCAATTTCTTTTTGCAAGCTTTTTGTGGAATAAATCATACCGAGATTTTACAGGTTGATCATTCTAGAAAACTTTTAAAAAGTGGATTTTGTAGCTCGAATGTGATTTTTACAAAATGGTAAATTCAACACATTACAACTGAATCTAATATGACCTGTTTCATAGTGAGTTATTTCTGGAGGGATTTTCCAATGCAAGTTTTCTTGATGCAAAGCAATAGCATACCTGATAGAATTGTGTAGCATTTATTTCTTGCTGGTGGTGTACTGAAGTAGCCGATTTAAAGTTGGATGGAATGCTTTCACTGGTGATTGACGGCTGTAACAAACAACAACAGAAAATGAAAGAAAACAATTTTTGAATTACACATACATTGATAGTATTCATTAAATGTTCTTGTCATTGAAAATTTTTTTTTAGATCAAATCAATTCGATTTTATCTTGCTCTCTCTTGAGTATCATCTTAGCTCCTGGTATTATGTGTATGTGTTCTCCATAATACAAATCATGGACTTACTTGAAAGTGTTCATATAACAATCATTTGACATTTGAAAGAAAAATGATAAGAACCAATTTACAATAAATACTTCAAAAATAACAACTGCCATGTGGAGAACATTATACATACACTTTACCCTCTTTCTCTAAACTATTAAACCATTATTTACCTGATTGGCTGAAATCTGTTCCAAAACCATGAGATAAAACTTGAAGAAGAAACTGACGGTTAGAGATTTCCTGTAAGACTCCATACCCCCAGGGGAACCAGCAGGGAGGGGTAGATCGTGAGCAAGGGACGAGAAAGTGGCTTCAAGCATCGACTCATCCCACTTCCTATGATGAGCAGAAGAATTAGGGGGATGGAAAATGATTCATTGACAGGCACATCATCTCAAATTTGCTTTTCTTTGAAAAGGTGTATTATTGTGTTCCCACTACGATGTACACATCATTGTGTATGTGGGTTCTTCTCTTCCCCAATACGATGTATCGATGTATACATCATTGTGTTTTGAATGTGTATGTGGGTTCTTGTGGAATGTGGTGACTACCTGAAGTGCTCAACAAGGTTGTGTGGGGGAAATGCACTTAGAGACAAATAATTGTAAGTTAATCTAGGGATTGGTGTAACAAGTCATTTTTATTCGTTCTTTGGAGAGCACTATAACAATCAAGATATTCAATACTCAGGTGCTTAAAAGGCCAGTCTCTTACATGAAGGTGTATAAAAAACAGAACACAAGAGAGCACTTCAGAAAGTGAGAATGGTATTTTAAGAATCCAAAGATGAGAGACATAAGCAGACTGATAGCTAGAGAGACAGAGAAAGAGACGGACATACAGCCTAACAAAAACTTACAGGCAAAAAGTGAGAACAAATAAAGAGACTGTAATGAAATTTGCAATATAACAGAAGAATAATGTACATGTAGATGCATTTTTGTGTTAATGCTAGTCCTGAAGGTATGGTTTCTTCCTTTCAAATGATATTCTACTCACTTTCCAAGTAGTTTCTGCATGGTCTTGAGAGCTAGTACAGTAGTAGCTGCCATGCCTCCATATGCTAGACTCACATCCTGGATTATGTTACTCTCTTCATCCAACACCACTCTCATACCAGCATTCACAATGGCGATGTCGTCTTCACGTCGAGGTGATTGCTTGTAACCATTAAAGTACTCATTCTAAACAAGAAAACAAGAAGCGGAAAGCAAGATAACTCGGTATATAAGAGCAAAGCAATGGTCTGGGATCCTGGTCTCTGGTTTTGAATTATTTCTGTACATTCCAGTGAGGCCCTAATCATAAAGACCTAATCCTACAAACAGGAATTTAAATGAGAATGAAACTTAACAAACATTTGTTTATTTATTTATCATCAAAGACTTATTCATTCATTTATCTTATTCAGAATTTTCAGAAAGTTTTAAAAAAACTTGAAATTACTCATGTTAAATTACTTAATAGCAAAGAAAACAATCTCTCAAAAGTTTGAAGCTTCCTTGCTAGCTATTCTCCCATAGAAGTAGCCTTTTTTATTAAAATAGTGGTGTCAGAGTTTTACAACATTAATCATTTATTAATTTTACAAATCATAATGGCTAAAATATCCACAAAAATAATCGGTTGTAATAATCATATCAGTGATACATATCACCACCACCACCACCGTCACTATCACCATCATCATCACCACCACCATCGTCGTCGTCGTCGTCGTCGTCATCATCATCATCATCATCATCATCATCATCAGCATCATCATCATCATCATCATCACCACCATCACCACCACCACCACCACCACCATCATCATCACCACCACCACCACCATCACCACCACCACCACCATCATCACCATCACCATCACCATCATCACCATCATCATCACCATCACCACCATCACCACCACCATCACCATCACCATCATCACAATCAACACCATCACCACCACCATCACCATCACCATCACCATCACCATTACCACCTAAACCATCACCATCACCATCACCACCACCATCACCATCACCATCACCACCATCACCACCACCACCACCATCACCATCACCATCATCACAATCAACACCATCACCACCACCATCACCATCACCACCTAAACCATCACCATCACCATCACCATCACCATCATCACCATCACCACCACCACCACCACCACTATCACCATCATCACAATCAACACCTTCACCACCACCATCACCATCACCACCTAAACCATCACCATCACCATCACCACCACCATCACCACCATCACCACCACCACCATCGTCATCATTATTGCTATAATGGCAATTCACATTAGAAAGCTGGTAATCAAGATAATTACCCCTTTAGTGAATGGAACAGTTATTGATTTAAGAACCTCATCAGGTTGGATAATGTTTCTCCTGTATCCAGTAAAGAAGTTCTCATCCATCACAACATGTCTTGAACCTGGCAAGAGAAATAAGATAATGGATATTATGTCAGCATGAAATAAAACTGAAAATAGAAAAACACTAAAACTCAAACTATGATATCTTGATAATGAAATGAATCCATTTGAAAATTAATGTTCAACAATAAAATGAAACCATAGCCTTCTAAACACATTGCATACATACCAGTACTTATTTCTGTCTACTAATCATTCATTTAAAGTGCTATATAAAGAAATAATACAAATATTCATTCCATTGGGCAACTATGGCTATTCATTCCTTTCATCTCATATTATGACTACCAATAATAATCATTGAAAACAAATATGCCGTTACAACAGTCACAACAATAATAATATTGAACCTGCTTATTGTCTTGAATATACACATATCTACAATTCAAGCTTTCGTAACATTGTCACTTACATTAGCAACGAGCAAAGAGACATGCATATTCTATTACTATGCTTACCTTGAGATTTTGATACCAATTCTAAGGTGCACCTAGCAGCCATGAATATGGGGTTTAAGTCTGAGATGGGACTACCAGTCACAATGTTGCCTCCAACAGCCTGTAGTGTAAATATATCAGATAAATAAACAATATAAATGATAAGTTTTGTAAGTATGTCAGGATTAAATGTCAAGAAAATAAAAGCCCCTTGTCCATAACAGTAAACCCCAAAATTGATCTCATATAAATCTTGAAGGGACTGCCCAAAGGAAATATTCTTATGATATTTCAATTGCCCCCTTGTGAAGCCAATGAATACTTACAGCGACATTTCTGATCTGTGGACCCGCAAACCATCTCAGTATTTCAACAATGGCAGCAAATATTCTGGTTGTGTGACCTAGGAAAGGAAAATACAAAGCATTAGTAGAGCCTCCCATCTTTGGCGACAACTATCATCAAATTATGAATTGTACCTGTAATTTCTCAAAACTACATATACATGCATGAGGTTTTCTTAAATGCAATAAATCATTTGTATCAGTTGCAGAATTTTGTTATATAAATATGTTTATTTCAAATTTGATTTGCATTACCACCACTTCAGTGTTGTTCATATTTATATTCATTATCTATAGTGATACATGGTACATTCAATGACAGAAGAACAAACAATATCATCAATAGAGTTGAACATAAATAAATGACCACATACAGTTCTGTTAACAAGTTTTTGACATAAATAAAAACTGGAGAATTGCAACTTGTACTGTGTCAGAAGATAAAAACATGTGCAACCTCAACATCATGTTGCTATTTTGATGCACAAAATGGAATTTAGGAGGGGTTACAAATTAAATTAAATTATGACTTCACAAATTTTACATGAGTAATTAAAAACATTCTTTAATAATTTAACAGGTTTGGTAAAATGATAACTTTTTTCTATAAAGAAGATATTCTTCAGAATGATAAAAAGGATGGTAAATATGCACATGAACATTCACTAATAGCTGTTGTAAAATGAGCCTCCCTGCTCTACTTTTTAAATACAGAGAACAGCCTTCAGAATTTATGAAAGAAATATAGAAGTGTACCTAACTATCCATTCAAACTTACCAGGGTGCTCATTGATATAACCTTTAAAGAATTCATCCATTCGTGTTAGACTGACCGATGACCCTACAACCACTCCATCAGCAGTGACCTTTATCTGGGTCAGGTCAGGTATCTGGGTCACTGATACCAAGGCCGGATAGAGCTGGTTCTTAAATTTAACCTCAACGCCTGCAAATCAAACAGACATGAACAATAGAGGCTGGGCTTGTTTGATTTGTAGCAACAATACATTACATTCTCAATCTGTACACACTATATGTATAGCTGATCTCACGCTAGCTGAACCTTTTCTGTTCGACTAGTACATGTAGCTGCCTCACTTGTATTATAACGGTATATTAATTTAAATATAAAAATAAACATTGCAGCTATATGGTTGAATCACTCATTTCTCAACATATTATGTGGGTATCCTTACATAAGGATATATTTGACTGAATCAATTCTGATCACCAAATGAATGTAAACCCTCAACATATGAACAAGAGGCCAATTTCTCTTTTTTATAAAATAGTGGAATTGTTTTGCTTGAAATCATCCAAATATGTCCTGCAGGCCAATATAAACACATAAATCAACACACTCCATTTCACTGGAAGGGATAATTTTATTTTTTTTGTAGCATTTTTTATTGTATTCATTCAGTACAAAATATTTTTTTAAAAACATACAGCTTCATTGATTTACATAACATAACAAAATATAAAGAAAATTGTACCTCCCTCAAAAAATACATAAGATAGTTTAATACACAAATGGCACTTTGAGTGTGATACCTATTTGAAAACAGGTCCATAATCAAACATTTGTCGAAAATTACCATAATGATTAATAATGTCACAATTGCAACCAATTAACAAAACAGTGCACTGAATAGCCTGAAGACTTACCAATCTCTGAATTACCACCAATGAGCTTTGCATGAGGGTATTTGACCTTGAGGTCAAGAAGTTCATCCAAGGTCACCGGTTGGTACCATGTCACACGTTCCCCTTGGAAGCGAACTGTCTGTGCAGGTTCATTTGCACTAAGCTAAAAAGATTTAAAGATTTAAGGTGTTTTTTGTTTGTTGTATGAATAGCAAGAAAAGAATACCAAAATGATTTTTTTTTCTTTCAATGAATGATAACTATAAGGAATGGAATAAAATTGGTAAAAGAAAGAAAGTTGATAATTTTATCTAAAGATCTGGCATCAACATAAATAATAAATAATCACGCTTTTCTACAATGCAATACATCTTGTCATTGTTTATTCTTAAATAGAATAAAAACATTAATATCTGTGCTATATAAAGCCAGGGGTAACATGATTACGGGGTCCTCCAGGATACTGATGAGGCTACCCTGGGTAAACAAGACATATTATTATCATTTATTGTTATCATCACCTTTACCTTGGTAACAAATATGTTCAGGAGCATTGTCTATATATTTTATATCATTAAAGTAACAACATAATATGAGACTTTTTTTATGTGGAGACTGAAAGGGTCAGTTTACCAAGAGGTAACAAGATATTTAAATAGCTAGTTTTGAAACAAGGGTGAGTATTTTAAGGCTATTCAGAGCAAGATGAAATCAAGAAACTTTCAAATCTTACCAATAGGTCTGGTGGAAAGATGAGGTCTTGAGAAGGATCATACTTGGAGAATTCCTTGGGGTCAAACAACAGACCTGACTCCTGTTTTTTTTTTAAGACAAAGAGAAAATACATGTACACATACCGGTAGGCTACAATATCAGGTAGCAGTACTATTCTGTTCCTTAAATAATATAATCCTATTATATTTTTCATGTCTTTACTGTAATAGTAAACAAATGTATTAAATCAAGTTTACACACATTCATACAATTTCTCTGCCTGTGCCCTGAATGGTAATGTATTAAGATGATCATTGCCTCTTTGATAAAGGTTTGAATCTTCTCCATACACCAAAGTTATTATTATCATACAACTTCATGTAGTACATTGTTACTGACATACCGGTACATGTAAAAACTGCTTTTGAGTAAAAAGGCAGACCACAAAGCACTATTACCAGTGACTGATGCCAGCAGAAAAAACACCTGGCATCAATACGATTAATAAACAAGGCCAGCAAACAGAATAGTGTGAATTATCATTATTGATGTGTTTTTGTCATGCAAATCCTAGCCTGTCATTGGCTGAATGTGTTGCATATACTAGACCTGCATGCAGACCTTGTTTGCTCACGGCATCCACAAGGTCCTGTAGAACAAATAGCTTATATACCATTTCAATTCATATGTCTCATCTTTTGCAGTCACTGCTTAAACCACCCCAAGGGAGCAAGACATGTATAAACATCAATTCGAGCCTGAATAAACATTTACTTGCAGGATTGATAAATATCAAATACCAATAGAACAAGAGATTTAACCTATAGAGCTCCCAACTATGTACATCTCCGCTCAGGCATATCTTAGAATAAGAACAAACTTACATGTATTTAAAGGGATAGTTGAGTTCTGTTTCAGACCACAAATGCCTTCAAAGTGCATGGTTATTGCTCTTATTCTTATCTATGACATTTATAGTGCCCTTTTAGAACCTAAAATTGCTATGAAGGTAATTTTAGACCCCAAAATGTGTGGAGTTTAGCCAATACGGTCATACCAATTCAGCTCCACTTTAAAAAAAAACATGGTGACCGTTAATTAATTATTTAATCAAAAATAACAATACATGAGCCGGCTAATTGTGAGTGATATAAGCAACATGAAAATGCCAACAAAAAAGTCAACAAAATTGGCTGAAATACAACGTAAAAGGTGTTATTTCGTTTTTTTCTAATGGTTTTTTCAAATTTTTCAAAATATCTATTATTTGTGGTGGTACACAAGTATTAGAAATCGTTATATTCCAGCCGTCTCTGAACCGATTTTGATCAAACAAAGATGATTTTGTCATTTAAATATTATGTTCTTTCAAATGCGACACTCAGTTTTTCATTATCTCACAAAAAAAATTATTTTGTGTAACGCCCTCTGCAACAGAACTTAACTATCCCTTTAAGCCTATTGTGCAAGTTCGCCCAGCCAACAATTGTGAACTATACCTTTTCACCTGTTACATGTTATTGCAATTCAATAGGCACAATGCATCTAGTGCAGAAATCAGTTGTATTGTTAATGCCTTCAATCAACTGGAAAAGCTATAATGGAGTGTAGACATGTACTTGAATAACAATAACATTGAATGTACCGTATGTATATTTGTGATCTGGTCTATTGTAAATACTCCTTCTCCCATTGATTGAATTCATGGAATCACGGAATTGTCGTATTTCAATACCGTAGTTGGAATGCAAATAGTTGAGGCATGAATAGCAATTGAATTTATTTGCCGACTGATCTATTATGAATGCTTCTTTTCTCAGCTAACAGTGATGTATTCTACCTATTAGGGGGTATCTAACTGAGCGGTGAATGCTTGCGAATGTAGCAAATTTGGGATTTTTCCAAGGTTCATAAAAGGTTGTAAAAAAATTTTCAAACAGTTTTCATTGTCGCAAACCGTTTTTCTTGTCTGTGCCCTGAATGGTCAAAATTTCTTCGGGAATGGCTGTATTCTGATTTAATCAATGATACTCTTTAAGAGCATTCTTAACAGCATTCTATCCAGTGCAAATTAATTTAATACCTCTTTGTTGTCGGCATTGTTGCTTTGACACGGACCATTCTGACAGCTACCTCCGCTACCTCCGCCACAGCAGCCACCCTGAAGAAAAAATAATAATAATAATAATATTTAGCTTTTATATAGCGCTTAATATAAATGTCTCTAAGAGCTTTACAAATATACTATTACCCCGGTTATTGGATTCAGTGCTTGCCCGCACCACACATAATCTCCACTCCCTGGGGAGCATTCCAGCCATACAGAGTGTAACGGTCACCAAATATGGTTATCATCATTTTGAGTATGGTTATACGACAATTGCTCCACACTAATTTCATACACTAACCACATTCCCAACTTCAACCATGGACCATACACTATACCTAACCCAAACTTTAAATAATCCCAACCCTAAACCTGACCTAAAACCCAAACGCAACCCTATCCTAAACTCTATACCTTTGTCAAAATTAATTATGGAGCAATTGAAAGTTTCTTTTTTTCCCTTTAATTTTTAAACAACCTTTCTCATAACCGTCCAAGAGACAGGTTACTTTTCACCAACAATTTTTTTTTAAATAAAAATTCAACAGCCTCATCACTAAGTCTTCCAAATGGTGTTGCAAAAGCTTTCAAGTGTGTATATCAATCAAATTTATTACATGGTATTTTTTATTATACAGAGTAGCTATTTTAATTTAAAGCCATGGTACCGCTGTTCATCACAGGCATAATAAAAACTATAAAAACATTCTTTACCTTCTTAGTGAATGTCTTGTAAGCTTGCAGAATGGGTCTGTACCCGGTACAACGACACAGATTCCCCTCGAAGGCACCATGAATGTCATCCATGGTTGGTTGGGGTTTGTTTCTCAGTAGCGCATACATGGACATGACAATGCCTGGAGTACAGAAACCACACTGTGACCCATGAGCCTTGGCAATTCGTTCCTGTTTGGACCAAACACAGATTTAATATGTGAGCAACGTAAGTTTCCTTCAAAGGCCCCGTGAATGTCATCCATGGTCGGCTGGGGTTTGTTTCTCACTAGGGCATACATGGATATGAAGATGCCTCGGGGGTGTTTCACAAAGATTCTAAGTCGAACTTAACTCTAAGTTGGACTTTTGTAGCCATTTGTAGCCTTAAAATGAAATATATTCAAAAGCAGAAATTGAAGTATTTTAGACTTTCCATAAATTCCACATCAAGAACATGAAATCTTCCATGATAATAGAAAATATGAATGATTTGAATCAACATTTTATGCCTTTTAAAATAACTTTCACAAAGTATTTTGAAGGATGCTAATGGCTTTCCATAATTTTTTAGTCCAACTTAGAGATAAGTTCAACTTAGGATCTTTGTGAAAACACCCCCCTGGAGTACAGAAACTTCACTGTGACCCATGTGCCTACGTGATTCGTTCCTGTTTGGACCAAACATGAAATCATGATATAAGAAGTGCACCACTAGTAGTTGATATGAATACTATGGATGACCTCCATGAATTAACCCTTAGAGGAACATACTTTGTTTTTGTCTGAATGAATCAGCCATACTGTCTCAAAGTGGCACTAATTATATTTTCTTTTTTATATACACAAAAACAAAGCAAAGTTTACATTGAATGTACCTTTATATGGATCAATTTTAGAAAATGCACCCATTTTAAAAAGGTAATAGTCAATCCCACTGTGTCACTACCATGGCCCTGGGAAGCGGGGGTGCTGGGGGTGCTGTAGCACCCCCGGAAATTTTTCAGGGGGTGCACAGCACCCCTGCAATTTTTTTTGTATGATATATTCAATGTAGACTATATCATTATGCTTCGTTTACGAAATTGTCCCTAAGCTGACAGCCACAAATTATGCTTTTTATTATTATTTTTTAAAATTTTCTTTCACAAAATCCTATAACATACTCGCGACACACGTGCGTGGTGACAGCTAATAGTAGGGTGATCACACTGCCTGTGCAAACAGTCTGCCCCGCGAACACACACACAACAGCAGTCAGTTAGTAGAAATAGCCATTTTTGTAAATGTATTTTAAAAAAACTAAACAATATTTTTGAATTTTTATTTCACATATATTTTAAGCATACCTTTAACTACAATTCTGTGTAGTTTCATTGTTATAGGCATGTGGAAAATATGTTCATTATTGAATTAGAATACTGTCTTTTCAGCCATGTGTGACATGGCCCGCTGATCGGCCATTGACTCGTGCTGCTATTCTGCGTGGTGAAAAAAATGCACCTCAATGTATAAAACTCCCCTACAAAAATGCTATATCCTCATGTGTTTCACTCATTAAATCAATTTGTTGTTTACACTCAAGGTAGCCACAACTGTACTGGGGTCACTAAAGTTTCTGCCACTCTGAAATTCAGTCCCTGTGAAATGTTATGGCCTGTTAAATGGTATCTCGGAAAATTGTCATAAATCCTCAAATCTGACATCTTCGAAAAAGGCAGATATACTGTGATGTAGCTGAAAGTCTACAAATTCTTATCATAATATGATCGGTTTTTCTGAATTATTTGTGAAACACATGAGGAAATAGCTGTGACGGTGATCCAAGTTATTTCCATCGCCATATTGTATTGTAAAATGAACAGTTTGACTTTCCTAATTTGCATAATGAGTGCGCGAATATATAATTAGCTGAAATGACCTAATTTGCGTATTTTATGAATATTCATGATTTTATTTTATTACAAATGAAATATATTTCCATACCTGTCTGATATACATAGGTTTCACTGATGTATCATGTTCGGTTTTGATTTGATTACATATGCGCATATTAATTAGGCGGACTTAGTTATTTTCACAACTTTTTTATATCTGCAGATTCGCAGACTTAATGACTTATTTTGTTGGCTTCTGTTTTCAAAACGGTAATAAATATGAATTTTCTTTTCATGTATTTTCTACCACAAAGATGATATTTTAGCGTCTGATAATTTAATTTATTATTTGTGTCCTAGAAAGTGATGAATTAAGTTGTCATCTTTGTCGAATTATGCCATTTTTGACAATTTGACCATTTCTGGCAGGTTTTTCGGTAATTTTGCTATATCAAAAAAATGATATAAAATCACAACACATTGACCGATTTCAATTCTGTTTTTTGTTTTTTGAAGCTTTCATAAAGCTTGATCATTTGCAACCATCAAATAACATATGTTTGTTGTAATTATTTTTGGTGTGCTATACCTACTAATAGTACATGGGTCTGGTGCCATGCAAAGCTTGCAGTATGCCAATCTATGTGTACAGTGACGATTGCAATTTTTTTGTGTTGACAATGGAAACCAGATTGCTGGAAACTGAATTCAGACAAGGACACGATACAACAGATCGTCTTCTTTCTCTAATAATTTAATGAAACGTGAAAGCTTCCGCGCTTCGTGCGGGAGGGGGGAAACTGAAAATGCAGACAAGAATTAAGAGTCGAAAACAGTACAAAGAATCGTGTTCTTTCTCTTAAAATTTAACGAAACGCCGAAGCTTCCGTGCTTCGCGCGGGAAGGGGGGGGGGGAGCTGCATTCGGACTAGAATTAAGAGTAGAGAACGATACAACGAATCGTCTTCTTTCTCTAATAATTTAATGAGACGTGAAAGCTTCCCGCGGGAAGGGTGAAATGATTTCAGACAAGGATTCAGAGTAGAAAACGGTACTACAACAAAATTATTTATGAAACGTGAAAGCTTTCGTGCTTCGCGCGGAGGGGGCTCAGGGGGGAGACTGAATTTAGACTAGGAATAGGAGTCGAGAACAATACCACGAATCATCTTCTTTCTCTAATGATTTAATGAAACGTAAAAGCTTCCGCGCTTTGCGTGCGCGGAAGGGGAGCAACTGGATTCAGACTAGAATACAGAGTCAAGAACGGTACAACGAAATCTCTAATAATTCAACGAAACGTCATAACTTCTGCGCTTTGCACGTGAGGGGCGAAACAAGAATTAAGAGTCGGGAACCGTATAACGAATCGTCTTCTTTCTCTAATAATTAAATGAAGTGTCAAAGTTTCCGCGCTACGCGCGGGTGATGGAAAACTGAAAAATAACTTAGTTCCTGGCCCCGGGTTAATAGTGTTAAATTTGTAGACATTGGGACATTGGAATTAATATACTTGTCGGTAATTGGTGGCTCGTTTTGTCGGTAAACGGTGGCCTCCACACCCCCCCCCCCCCTCTACTGAAAAGGGTATAGCGATCGACGCCTCTGATAACAACACAGTTTATACACTTGAAATAATTTTTGCAAGTACTACTGGTGAAGTACCAGACCCAGGGGCGGATCCAGCCGGCGGCAGGGGAGGGGCCCAATTCGTGAGAAAATATTTAGCGGCGAAACAGCCGGCCGATAATTCGCATAGTGGGGGAGGGGGGGGGGGGGGGGGGGGTGAGGGGTAGTGAGCACTAATTTATTTATTTTTTTGCTCCCGCAAATTAAAAATCGTGCCGGCCGATAATTCGCTCAGCCCCCCCCCCCCCCCCCTTCCTGGATCCACCACTGGTGTCCAACAATTTTCCACAAAATAACTAAAATTTCTATTTTGCAAAATGTATGACTCCGGAGAGTCTTTGCATTTTAGAGTTCCTAGATAATATGCTTTCCATAAGACTCTCATTACCTTAGCCTGCTTATACACTCTTTCAATTCAATGGACTTGAATTTCTCTGTGCATTAACCTGTACAAATATAATTACTTTTACTTCATTTATCTCTAATCTTTTTTTTTGAAGAGCACCTAAAAAAATTGTAAAATAGGTGTTTTGAGTAATATTATAATCATGAAGTTTGTATCGTTATGCACATAATCAAGAAACTAAGGTTACCTGTTTACGATTCTATTCCATATGGTGTTTTAATTATTATGATAATCAGAAAGATTTGATTGCCGTGCACTAATCAAGAACCTAAGGTTACCTGTTTACGATTCAATTCCATATGGTGTTTTAATTATTATGATAATCAGAAAGGTTTGATTGTCATGCACAATGTTATAATCAAGAACCCAAGGTTACCTGTTTACGATTCTATTCCATATGGTGTTTTAATTATTATGATAATCATAAAGGTTTGATTGTTGTGCACTAATCAAGAACCTAAGGTTACCTGCTTACAATTCTACAGTGTGTTTATTGTAGGTTGTTTTATATGCTAAGGAGTATAATCAATCCATCGGAGTGAAAAAATGATTGGAATTAGTATACAATCCATGATTGTGTAAAGTGATATCTGGGGCAGGCAACGTTCGGTCAGATTTTAGCTTTATATTCAAACAACGTTTTGCGTAACTTTTTAAAGTTTTGTTAACAAAAAAAAACCTATAGACGCCCTGTATATATTTGAAATGTTGGTTTATTTTGCTGAGAGAATATAAACAAATTGTTGCTGAGACATATTGAAGAAAAATGGTCTAATGGAAAAAGGAATAGATTACACTTTTCTGCTCATTATTGAATACAGGGAAAGGAAGTCCACCCTGATATTAAGTTATACTATGGTCACATTACCCAAAAGTAGCCTGCCCGGCGACTGCCCGGCCACAAAGCGGCGGCCGCCCAGGCACCGCTCGTTTTTAGGGCATCGCTCGGTCGACGCTGAAGTTTTAGCGCGGAGTTAAAATTTGGGTGGCGCCTGCTCACTTTTCACTCGCCGCCCAAAATACACTCGGTGGCTAGGCGGTCGCCACCCGGGCACCGACCTAATTGCTGGGCGATGCCTAAATTCCAGCAGCGACTGAGCAGGCTACTGATCGGTCGGTCGCTGCTCTGATTTGTGACCATAGCTTTAGCTTTCATTAGAAGCAGAACAATAATTTGGGTTCTCTGTTGTACGCAGAAAATTTTTGTATTCTTTCATCAATATTCGACTTTAAACGAATTTGTTTTGAAAACCCTCGCAGAAATATGTCTTAAATTAGATCCTCTTTCACATTAAATTGAGTCAAATTTTACCATCAAACTTTTGGGGCTCCCAATGCTTGAGAGGCTCTACACCAGGCGCGGATCCAGGATTTCTTAGGGGGGCCCAAATTTGAAATTATGCTACCCAAATATCGGTACGTAATGGTGACCCGCATTGACGTAGTGGGGGGTGCAGGGAGGGGCGATTTCCCCCTCCCTCCTTCCTGCGCGAAGCACGGTTTCATTTTACGTTTCATTAAATTATTAGAGAAAGAAGACGATTCGTATTACCATTCTCGACTCTTAATCCTTGTCTGAATTCAGACCCCCCCCCCTCCTGCGCGAAGCGCGGAAGCTTTGACGTTTCATTAAAATTATTAAAGAAAGAAGACGATTCGTTGTACCGTTCTCGACTCTTAATCCTTGTCTGAATTTAAAAAACGTTTTTTTGTCTGCTCATTTTTCTTCCTACATCCTCTTCTTTATCTCCCCTCTCTTTTTTTGGCCGGTGTTTTTTTTTTTTGGGGGGGGGGACGCGTCTGCAGTCAGATGAACATATTTTGATACCTTGTCCGCTCCCGGAAACTCAGGGGATTAAGGCAATAAATTACGGTCAGACAAGCATTCAGGGGCCCGCCTTAGGGGCCCTGGTGGGGTAGAGGGTGCAAAAACCCCGGAATCTCAGGGGTTTTAGGCATTAATTTTGATTACGGTCAGATGAACATTTTTATACCTTATTTGTGACACTGGCAGGACAATGATTGGCGTGGGGTCCAGCGGGCGGAGCCCCCAGAAGCTCAAGGGTTTTAGGCACTAAATTACGGTCAGATGAGTATCAGGGGGCCCGCCTTAGGGCCGTTGGTTGAGTCCAGGGGGCAGAGCCCCCGGAAGCTCAGGGGTTTTAGGCGTTTAATAACGGTCAGATGAGCATTTTTTGATACCTTATTTTGTTGTGAAACTGGCAGTTAACTATTCTTTTTTTCTTGCTCTTTTTCTTTCTATTTCTCTTTAATATACTTGGTCAAAAAAGTGTGAGGGGGGCGAGGGGGGGAGCTGATTACGGTCAGATGAACATTTTTATACCTTATTTGTGACACTGGCAGGACACTGATTGGCGTGGGGTCCAGCGGGCGGAGCCCCCAGAAGCTCAAGGGTTTTAGGCACTAAATTACGGTCAGATGAGTATCAGGGGGCCCGCCTTAGGGCCGTTGGTTGAGTCCAGGGGGCAGAGCCCCCGGAAGCTCAGGGGTTTTAGGCGTTTAATAACGGTCAGATGAGCATTTTTTGATACCTTATTTTGTTGTGACACTGGCGGTTAACTATTCTTTTTTTCTTGCTCTTTTTCTTTCTATTTCTCTTTAATATACTTGGTCAAAAAAGTGTGAGAGGGGCGAGGGGGGAGCTGGAAGCTCCCGATCCCCGCCGTTCCGCGGGCCCTGACATGCAGGCACCTCAAGAAGCATATTTCTTGCCTGGTTGTAAATTAAGGAATTGGTCATTTTACAACAAACGCATAAAAATGTATAATGTACTAAAAAATGAGAAAAAATCTCAGAAAATTATGTCATTTCAGCATTATTCAGCATTATGTGTAAACCACCGTAATGGTTATGGAATCAGAAATAAACCCCCTCCCCGATCAAGAAGCCAGTGCCCCCCCCCCCCCCCCCCGATCTACACTTTGTTGGCGGAAAAATCGCAACTGATCTCCCCTACCTTTCTTCTTTCTCTTTTTTTTTCTTTCCCTAATTTCTCTCCACATTTTTTTTTTTGCCCCGGAAATTGGAAAAATTACGTCGTCAGATATTTCGTTCAGTGGCTTAGGGGGAAGTAACACTTCCCCCCCCCCTTTTTTTTTTTGTTCTTTTTTTCCCGGGGGGGGGGGGGCCAGGCCCCTCGGGCACCCCCTCCCTCCCCCCCCCTGGATCCGCCACTGACCAGACCGCCGTCTTTGTGCAATGTGCAGCAACGAAGCATATGCAACGTTTCGAGACGTGACAGATCACTTTTCTCTAACCTCTTACTAATAGCAGGTCTCGTTTTTTTTTTCTCTCCAAAAAGTGCAGGTGGACAGTAATGCGCCAAATGTGGTTCTCAAATTGCAAAAGATCCCTACTCTTAGAGGGGGTAGGAGAAACCAATTTTACGTCATATAACTCAAGGAAGCGTGTGAAAATGCGACTAATTTGTGGTTCTAAAGTTGCAAATGCTTCCTACTCTGGACGATACGTGTATATATATATATATATATATATATATATATATATATATATCGATCTCAGCACCCCCGGTGAAAAAATCGTTCCCAGGGCCCTGGTCACTACCCTAAATATTTTCATGTTCACTTTCATCTATGAATGACATTAAGTACTATAACTCAAATGGATGTGCATCTGCCTGTGACTGTTGACTTTTCTGCTCAAGTTTCCAGCGCAATTTGAAGTGTTCTATATTCAAATATCATGAAACATACGTCACTATAAGGTGACACTTTATGTCTATGGGGAGCCACATTAAAAATGAGGAATTGAAGCATAATCGTGCTCACATGGGATAACATTAAAAGTGTCTATCTAATAAAAAGAACTGCATAATTTTTAAAGGTGATACATTATCATTGGGAAACAAAAGGTATGCTACATCAAGATCCAGGTTCTGAATTAAAAGCAATTTTCCTTTGTCTATTACTACATTGTGCAACTCTGCACAATTTAACATTGTTTGTTTCTACTTGTCCATCAAAAATAACAGGAGTGTGAGAAATTGCTTGTGGAGGGGTGGGGTTTAACTAAACCTGTACATAGACTTTGATCTTTACATGTTTATCAGATCCTCATCATCTGTTTGGAGCCAAATGGGTTCAACACAGAGTATAACACCTTTTTGGCTGTGAACAGACAATGTAGATCTGATAAACATGTAAAGATCAAAGTCCAGCAATGGTCCATTTCTTTTTCCTTACCTGGACTGGATGTAGTTTGGTCTTGGTGCTTCCGATACCTTCTACAGTGGTCACCGCAGCACCATGTACAGTGCACACAGGAGCTAGGCAGGCATTCACTGCATGGTGACTGATGAGCAAAACTTCCAGTCAAGAAAACAACACCTTGATATTACTACGCAAATGAGACTGACAGACGATTGCAAAAGCATGTTTCATCTTTACCCCACTTTTCTTTTTTCATTCTCTTCTTTTCTCCTTTTGTTTTTCTTTCCTTAGGTATACATGAGACAAACTGACCCTTCATGTCTAAGATAATAGAATTTGGGACAGGAAAAAATATAAAACTTAAAAATAATATAATCTCTTGTAGTCAACCCTCTAGACTCATAGTCCAGAAATGTTTTTGTGAGCTTAAACAAGAAATTTAAGCAAATAAGATTCCATTTCTTAACGTAACCTTCATGTTACTAGCTACACAGGGTCAAAATAGTGTCATACATGTAGGTTTTCAAGCAAACCCCAAAACTCTCATAGATTTTAATCAGGCATGTGCCAGAATGTAAATCATTTTTCCTGTCTCATTTGTAAAATCTCATAAAAAGGAACAAACTTGTGGCAGCCTTAGAATTCTTGGAGTCTTGATAATCGCTATTTTGACAGCGCTTTGTATGCTCCAGCAACAATTGCCCTGTAGTCAACTTCCTACACTGAGTAATTTCCTAAACTGAGTGATTTCCATACTTCACGCTTGGACCAAACATTATATTAAGAAATCCCCCAGTTTAGAGTTACAAACCTTGCCAACCCAATACATGGGATTTCAGGTTGTTTTAAGGGTATATTTCTGGTCAAAGGATACACTATTTTGCTGGTGTTTCTGTCATACGATGACACCATGACGGTGCAAGCTCCACATCCTCCTTCAGCACATCCCAGCTTGGTTCCAGTTAAACCCACTGTCAGCCAGCAAAGTTACCAAGAGTCAAGGTCAACAGTTCATGAGAACAAAAACAGGGGGCAGGAATTATACTGATCTACAGACGTACTACTACTACTGCCACTACTACTACATGTACCACTTCTACTACTACCACCACCACCACCACCCCCCCCCCCACCATCACCCCCACCACCACCACCACCACCACCACCACCACCACCACCACCACCACCACCGCCACCTCCACCACCACCACCACCAACACCACCACCAACACCACCAACACCACCACCACGACTACCTCTACCACTACTATGTGAAAAATGTGCACACATTGTGTGCGGGTAAGCCTGAATCAGATAACCAGGGGTAATAATATATCTGTAAAGCGTTGGATCGATGTATTGAGCGCTATATAAAAAACAGAATATTATTATTATATTATTATTTCTATTATTATCATGATTATTATTATCATTATTATTATCTACAGCTACTGATTTCTTGCATAATAACACTTTAAATGTGTACAATTAATTACATGTGTCGCTCAAATGAAAGTGACACTTAAAAATCAGCATCCTCTCTCCCTCTCTCTCTCATATAATTTATATAATTGAATGGAACATATTTGTCTACAAGAGAACAAATTTCTTCCAAGCTGACAAAGGTGATAATACAGATAATATCAGTCCAAACTATTAAAACAGTTCTTTGGAGTTGAAGCGAATGTCTACTGTAAGGATACATTTCTTGCGGAGATAAACTAGAAGCGTCATTTCTGGATCAGGGCTTTTCTCAATGACCTGGATATGACAAAGATAAATGAGAGGGGGAGGGAAGGATTATGTTCAGAAACTTTGATTTATCATAACAATCATACCCATAGGAAAGTAAAAAGTATGCCATCTGCGGCAGAAAGAAAGTTTGCTGCAGACTTGCCACATACCGCTATAGTATACCGCAGGAACAGTCTGCGGCAGAAAGGAAGACATTTGATCATTCCTATAAAACCAAAGTCATGATAGATATATCACACTGGAGGGGCCATGATCAAAACTGACAAATTTGATGATAAAATATCGCAATTTTCTCAGGAAAATCCAATGTAACGGTATATGTCAAGCACGCAAAATCAAAACAACAATAAACCCCCTCCACAAATACAGTAAGCATTCATGCGTGCACGCAATGCACATCGCACACACAATAGGCATAAACAATTTGCGTGTGTACTTATGCACGAAAATGTGTACATGGCACGCGAGCGAATGAGAGTTTATGTGTGCATGGCAAGTCAACAGAAACCCGATTATGTGAGCTGGGCACGCAAGCGCATGCACAGAACAGTGTTCTTGGCATGATAAGAGTTAAGGAAAGAGTAATGTACAGTGTATATTTCACCCTCTCAACTGTGCATGCACAGGTGATTCAGAATTTTTCAAATATCATATTGCTGACATATTCTATCATGAACGAAGTACAATTACAAAGAATTGAAACATTAGGATTTACTAACAAATCAGACTAACAAGTAAAAATTAAAGTTACATTTATTAAAAAAACAGTTAACCGTTGGGTTTTGTGATTTAGTTTTAAGATTCCATCCGTGTCCTGAAAGATAATCACAAGAGTATAACAGCGGGATGTTTTTTAATATAAGAACGAACCTTTTTGCCATTGCAGAAGAATAGAAGTACAGATCCTCCATACTCTGTAGTCTCCATTCTTACGCTACAAGAAACTTCCTCTTCAGCGAGTGTCTTGCTATTTTCAAAGACCTTGTTAGAAATGTTTAGAAGACGTCTGACCCTGACTCTGTAGGTATATAAGGAAAATTTAAAGAAATCAGTTAACACTTATCATTTTCAAGACCTACTCATTATCAGTTTGGTGGTACATAAGAAGGATCAAAATATGTTACAAATTAATAATGCAACTGGAATATCTTTCATCATTAAAAAAAAATGATAATAATGATAATAACACAATGTAAACACACACACATGCATGATCTACATTTGCACTCACAACGGTTCTCAGCTCAGCTCTATTCAACACTCCCCTCCGGGTCTTTTCAAGCACCGAATGAATCTTTACTCTATTCCCTTCTAGGTTCTCCGCTCCAAGCATTCAGTATTGACAAATTGCAGATAATAGTTTGTGTCATTTATGTACCAGACCATTAGAAAAAGCTAAGCGAATAAGTTTATGAAAGGCAAAGCTCCCGTGTTCACTCAACGACACCCTCGTCGCGTTTCCAATCGTACACATATATGCTAATAGCGCTATGTATAACGTACGGACGCGCCGCCGCAGCAGCGGTAATCAGCATTTTTGTAAACATTGCCTTGTTGGCGTCCAGCGCGTTTTGCAACGACTCTGACCCGTTATTTGACCCGATGTAGTCTCATTTTTCAATCCAAGTAATTCTGTAATGATATCAAACACTTCATCGTCCAATTCTTTAAATAGTTTATGATAAAATGTATGATTTTATTAACCAAATAAAATGATTTAAAAAATCTTTAGTGTAAGAACAAATCCTCCGAACGTTTTTTATTGTTGCTACGGTCACTTACGTTTTATACTTTCACAAAAGAGTTTGTAGATAAAGACTACTAGTAACCTGAATATGGGTGTGGCGGAGGTGTGTCCCTTACCCCTCTCAAACTTTGCATGGATCTTGAAGAATGTCAATATTATTACGATATATGCCAATTAAAATGTTGTTCCTTTGCTTGTTTAAACGGTGACGGAACGATGCCCATTATCTTCATATTTATTGTGCGCTTAATTCATGACTGCATGGAAAAATAATGATTAAAAAACATTGTTTTTATTTGCCTTTTCATTCTCGTTTGATATCGTTTAATTTTAAAAGGCCTTTATATGTCTTTGATAAGTTTCGAGAGCCAATTAGACTTCAGTCTAGTAACTCCTAATTGCTATACATAACCCCTTCATCAAACCAAGGAGTTTTAAGAGCTGGAGACCCGACTGGCAACAAATTATTCCAAAACTAGCAGCTGTCGTTTTTCTATGTTTGCACAATATAATCTACTGGTGTGCTGTAACCTTTGATGTCCGAGGTTCGAAGCCACCAATATCATTTGAAAGCTTGAGTAGTTATTTTTTTCACAAAGTAATATCCTTAATATTTCACTTTTTATTTGAACTAACAAGGGGAAAATCGAACAGATGATAAAATATGAATACAAAAGCCTTGACAATTGTGTCAAGAAAATTTGCTTACATTGTATGATACATTGTAGCTGCTTTAATTTGTGAAAAATTGTAAAATTCTACAGTCCTAAAACCTGCAATTTGACACTTTTCCGATTACTTCCGGCTCACGAAAATGAAAAGTGAACAATAACCATCAGTTAGCTTATCTGCACAAAGTTTCAAAATTTAAAAGATATATTGTTTTACCATTTTCAGGAGAAATAACTTTGGGCCGGCTGCCGGTATACGATGGTTTTGTTGCTTAAAGTAGATATTCATTGATTTTAAATCTAGCTTTATTTTCATAATTGCAAAGTTGAAACTTTTATTCGACAAGGTTATCAAAATTCAATGCTTGGAAACATTCGAAGTAATGATTATTATAAATTACAAAACGCTTAAATACAGCCCCGGCATAGCACCTGAATAGCTCTCCGAACGCTGCTGAGATGTGTGAGATCACAGCAGGGACATGATTTGCACAAGCAGACGATGTACCATGACATCTCACACATTTTCAGTGCCTGTATTTTCATCTTCTCTTGAGTTCTTTCTCTTACTTCACCACCGCCAGGCTAAATGTATAATCTATTGCCTCACTCTAAACCCCGCGCATGGTTTTATTTTGATGACAAATGCAGCGATACAAAAATAAAGGAATCTGTCGCTTGTAAACAAAATAAGACGCCATTGTATATTCAGCTGCAGACACCGCGGTATGTTCGGCGTTTTAAGAGGGAACAAATGCCGTCCTTAATATCAATCCGGGGGCTTTTCAATTTGAAAGGCTGGTTTCTTTGATTGTTAATTAACCCCTATCCTGAGTATTTACAAGCAAAAGATTTTAGTTATCAGAATCGGGTCATGTCCCCTTTTGATCGGTTTGACGTGCCAGTACTTTTATATACACTAAACTCATTATAATTTGACAAATAATAGCTTTGCAATTATGTTCATTCTTTATGGGATGTCGTCTGCTTGGGCAGTATTGGTCCCTGTTGTGACGTCATTAAAACATCGTTAATTTTCTGGCGAATCTCTCGTATATCCCAGCTGCTATGGAGGTGGTTGTATTTTTATTTTTATAAATCACCCGATATGTAGCTGACCTCAAACTTGTACGATGGCCATTTGTTAGCTTACCAGTTTCTAGTGATACATTAGTTGACATATTTGTGATTTTCTTTGAATTTCACCTTTAATAGTTTTACCTAACGGAACGGAATTTATCATGATGTTCAGGGCCATTGTCCATGTTTGGTCCAGAGCCATCTTTACACAGAGTTTGGCCAACTTTATTTCACTTAGTCACAACATGACGAACGAACCGGGTTGGCCAAACTCTCCTAATCAATGGCACTGGCTTGGTCATTGTCATACTGCCATCTACAGACAAGAAGTAGAGGTGTTACTAAATTCGTGAATAAATCCATGGACCCATCTCTCTCTCTCTCTCTCTCTGTCTCGTAGGTCTATGATATAACTTTCACTAGTTTTCTTAGTTTAAAAAAAAATTGTGACGAACCTGAGAAAAGAGGATTAGGGTGGCAGCTACACATTGGTGATGGGGATAAATTGTACCAAGTTACGTGTATGGTGTGTTGCTTTTTAAAATATTTTCTTTCTCTCTCTCTCTCTCTCTCTCTCATCGTCATCACCATCTATGGGGGAGGCAAAGTTTGTATCAATCAGATAATTTCAAATCTATTTGATAAAGAAATGACTAGGGACTTAACAAACCAGTGGAAATACCTTGGTAATTATGATGACGATAGGATCTATTTATTTATTTATTCTTGAAAGTTTTATTTAAAATAGAGGGTAGGTACATTCAGTTTTAAAAAAATGCTTTCCAAGCACGCCCTCTAGGACGACATAACAAATATGTGATATTAAAAAATATAAGGAATAAAAAGTTGCTTATGTGATGTTTGAATAAAACAATTGGGACTTGGGTATCAATTCGGCCTTTGCAGATCCAAATAACATCCCTAACAAAATTAATCATGCCACACATATCAAATATCGAATATCAAATATTAACGAACATTTTGTGCGTGTGTGTGTGACTTTGCTTCTGCAAAAAGCATATGCAATGCGTTTCATTTGATACATTCGATTAATTCTCTCTCTCCGCTAATCCCAACATAATACAATAGGCATCACTTTGGCGCAAGTCGATTTTTGCACTCTCGCAAACAATGCCTCCTGTTCATCCAAGCGTGAACACATACCACACACAAATGATACCACGTGATTTTGTTTCATATTTTTTAAATAATAAGCAATTTTCTAGGTGTAAACTTTTTTTTGACTCACACGGTATATAACATAATAAAAATGATTGTACCGTTAGAGGGAAACATGAACGAAGATTCTATTATAATAAATCCTGTGCCAATAATGCATCCGCGTTTGAATTGATTTGGTTGATTGAATTGAGAAAGGAAGTTTGTTAAACAGGGTGCTTGCTTTATACGAGAATTATCTTTTTTTAAATTCGGTTTTGGGGTATGGGATGTCAAGAAGAGAATTCAATGAATAGCGGGTACGGTAGTTGAAGGTGCGATAATTGATAAGTGATTTTAAATAAGTTGGGGCCATGACATTTATAATGTTAAAAACTAAAAACATTAGTGATATCTTAATCTTTGTTCGACCGATTGCCAATTTAAAATCGTAAAAAGCGTACAGTGGTGTGTCGTAATCCTTATGTAAAATCAATCTCGCAAATCTATTTTGTAACTTTTGCAGCTTCGATAAATTTGTCTTTGAGCAGTTTCCCCAGCAGTACAAAAATAGTCAATATGTGGTAGAAGTAATGCAAAATAAAGGTTTACAAGAGTTTTATAAGGTATTAGGCGTTTTATACGACGAGTACATCCAATAGAACGAGATATTTTAGTACATATATAATTATTTTATATGTTCAGACCACGTAAGTTGTGAGTCAAGTATAACTCCTATATAGGTATTTTATTGTTTCGACACACTGTAAGTTATTACATTTGTTACGATTGTTCTCTAACTTTCTTTTTGATCCAAAGGACATCACTATAGTTTTCTGAGGGTGTATAAACATCTTATTTTTATCAAACCATTAACATATTAAATCAATGTCATTCTGTAAATTTTCTTGAACTTCAGAAAAATTAAAAGAATTATTAAAATGACAGTATCGTCAGCATAAAGTGATATCTTGGAATTATTATGAAATTTTAAAGTATTAATATCATTAATATACAAACAAAAAATCAATGGGCCAAGAATTGACCCTTGAGGCACCCCGGAAGTAACAGTTAAATACTCGCTACAATGATTATCTATAATGTTTCACCTTTCATTTGCGTAGTGTTCCTCTTGCTGAGGAGAGAATACACCAGTTTGTAGCTGTAAGTGGCTCTTGTTAAATAAGTCGAAGAAGTCAAACGAAACCTTTTTATTGACATGATCGACGTCCCTGTACACAACCACCAACTTCTCACGATGATCGTGTTTGTTGTGCTCATGCTAATCAACTCAGTCGTGCAAAAGATGTTTTATTAAGGAAATGTTGAATTACTTTTTTAATAAAGCATCTTTTTCAAAGAGTAAAGGAAATACAAAGAATCTAGGCTAAATGCCTCTATATAAAACAGATTATCACAATTTTCTAGAGACTGACACCAGAGATTAATCAAAATGAGTGAATGCTGTTGTGGAATAAAAAGGAAATACCCTATAGAAAGTGTCACATGCATCGTGTTTATGCAAGTTATTCTCATACTTGTTGATATCTCGTTGTGTTTTTATGGTTTCTGCAGTCTGGAGTTAATAAAGATATTTAATTTATAAATGCATGTCGTAATTTCGGCCATTTCTCCTTTGTAGCGACCTCGCCCTCGGTATACGCCAAGCTTGACATTTTCTATTCATATTTTAATGGAAGTTTCCATGGCAACCATTGTAATGGATTGCCGAATCGCTCGTAACAATGGTTGATTTACTTTACCCTTTTAAAGGTCTACCCATCCTGTGATGGAATCAGTTTGTCATTATTTAATCATGATAATTGTTAGCTGTAGCCAGGAAATGGTCTCCCAACCTCCATGTTATGATGTTTGTCATACAAAATACAAACTCATGTTTAATTTAACAAATAATTCTAACTGGGAATTCCAAAATTCAAGCGATGAAGTTTGTTGAGTGGATATAGCTAAAAAGATATCTTGTGTAGCACATTATAGGATTTTGGTTGTTTCATTATCTTTAACGGGTGTCGTTTCCTTTTTTATGCGTGAGGCCATGTAGGACTTAATGCCTTAAGATAACACTGAATCCGGTTTTTATTTTTCCCTTTTCTCTGTTTTACGAACGGTAAATAATGGGCCCGCAAGCTAGGTTAAACAGGTATTAATAATTTAATAGAATAAATTACCAAATTGAACTTGTGACGGAAAAAAGAATTCAAATAATCAAATTCCGCTCCTTCTTGAATGATGGAAAAGCTTAAAATATGATACCCGGAGAAAACGTTCAAATTTAATGTGAAGTAGGATGAGAACAAAAGATGACGCAAAGTATCTCTGTTTCAAGGTTTCGTCCTTTATCTGACTTCATGTTCATAAATGACTTTAATCTGAAGCAATTAAGAGAAGATACAATCATTCAAAAAGCCATTAGAGTAGATGATGAAGTAATAAAATTAATGATTACATTTAGTAGAAATATTTAAACTAATTAAAATATAAATTATACATTTTATGTATATATATAAATATATATAATTTATATTTATACAAATATATTATATGCATTAATATATAACTACAGTGCACGTTTCCATTCCCACCCCATTCAACAGAGAGAATTTCACAGACCATACAACAATCCATGCTGAGGCTGAACTACTCAATCAAGATTGCACCACACAAAAGCTAATTGGTTTCACAATTTAGACCCTGTATTCAAAACGTTAATTAATTAATAACAACCTTCCTGATAATTTCCTCCCTCCCTATGTAATCATATTGAAATCACCCGGCCTGCGTATACACATAGAAAAATAACTATCTCATTATATTCTGAAACGTTATACCTCTTGCTAACGTTCTATTCAGACCCTGTATGTGTGATATGCATTTTAGATCACCAGTGAGTGCCAAAACTCAATTTCCAATGTAAGTTTTAGTCACAAGATCCTCTTGTCATTTACTTTCATTTTTATTTATGCATTTCTAAATCATGGGCTAAGTGTTATTTTGTGCATTTTATTATTTAGAAGCACATCAGCTGCTGAAGTGTAACCATGTGCACTGTATGTTTATAAGTGTATGTCTATGAAAAGAAAAAAAAAATTACCATAATATTTTTCCCTTTGGGGGGAGGGGGTAGGTCAGGCCCTGTGCCCCCATCCCCCTTCAAATCCGACACTGTAAATACATTTTTAAACCTTAACAGTACTATCCGATGTATCTGTCAATTCAAAGAGAACAACAATGTCTGATAATTGTTATCATTTTACTAGCTTGAAGCTATGTGTTCCGCAGAAAGTTTCAATTAGCAAGCGTAGGTGATGAGTCAGATTCTGATAAATGACTAGATCAACTCTCTCTCTCCCCCTCTCTCCCTTTCTCTACATTTTCTCTCTTTCTTTCTCCCCCCCCCCCCCTCTCACCCCTCTCTCTCTCTCTCTCTCTCTCCATCTCTCCCTCTCTCTTTCATTCTCTCTTCTCTTTCTATACCCTTCTCTCACTCTTTCTGTTATGTGCATATTAACCACTTGTGTTGCATTTCACGGTATCCAATTAGAGCATTTTAGGTTTATTTACTTTGTCCCGAAAACAGAATACAGTAAATGCATGTACGACTCATCTACTCAGTGGTAATTCCCTCCACTGAAATCTCAGATTCAACCCTTGACTTATTACTCTACTTAACCATAACCATAACCCTAAACCTAACCCAGAGATATTGCCTCCGATCAACTGCTTCCCGAATATGACGTATATTATTAGTAATTTTAAAATGCCCGCACCCTCATCCTCCTCCTCGTTTCCCAATCCATCCACGTAAAGCTGTAAACATTATCCATTAACCCATTTGCGTTATCTCACGGATTTTATGGCAGTGATATTTATTGGAAGGTTGGTGTAAAACGCAAAACTTCACTCTTGTTTATACTCTTGCGAATCCGAATTATTGATGAAAACAGGAGAGACAGAGCAATAATTATCTTTTTACGAGGAGCTAAAGATAGGGATTGCATAACTGAAATTTCATAACTTCCACTGCACTCACACACCTACACAGATGAAATCCGCACTATCCGTCTGAGAGGGAAAAAAAGCCCTAATAATAATCTTCAGAACTATAATTACCACAGGGTATTTTTCTTCTAATTTTCACAGTTCAGACGTCGCATCTGCAACGATCATTACAGCGATGCGAAGAAGACATAGAAGCAAACAAGTGTGAATGTATATGATTTTATTGTGTTGGATTGCCATAGCCATAAAATATATGAGATTGCGAATTTGTATTTTTATTGAGAGAGACAATTGACAAATGATTGATGACAATTGAAGATTGGCATTAACAGTTCATAGCAATTATAAGCGAAAGGTGCGACAAACGCAGAAGTAACTGCCAAAAACCGATATAGCGTTCACGCATTATACACACTCACACACCCCACCACGCACACAATAATGTATAATGGTAGTACACGCATCGTCAAACAGAAAGCACAGCCTTTCTTTACAAAGCGTGCTTTGACAACCACTTGGAGCTCGGTGAGCTGGGGATACACAGCAAATTCCAAACCAAAGGCATTGGCGTATATGAACAGTCATGCGTATACGTATGTGACTCCTTCATCGGTGCATGCTAATTGCTTTTTATCTGTATTTTTTTTAAAGAAAAAAGTGTTCATTTTGAAAGGATATACTGTTGATTTCATCTACATAATTATCCAATCTACTTCAATGGTGATGTGTTAACATGGTTAGTGAAGTGAGTATCTCGAATCAAATGCTTTTTTGATCGGCTGTACAGTCGACATCAGTGCCGAGCCTACTTTCTGTTGGAATACTCATCTCATTTTGTCGGCGCCTCGGGGCATCACAGAGCGGAGAGCAAAGCTATACAGAGGAGAGGAACTATCACTCTTTCCATCTACAGACTATGCAAGCATGAGAGAATAATGTGGATAAATACCCTGCTTCCATCTGGCGACACAGAATACTGATTTAGCCTGGATATGACACGCTGAGGACACCTTGTTTTGGGAACTCATGTCATGGGTTGCTCATCGTCTACGGCTGATGTCAAACGAGGCGGGTACTCTAACGGGAAGCTGCCCGAGCCTAGTGCTCCACCACCGCCTGACCCTCGTCTCCCTCTCACCGCCAGACAGAAGTTCAGCCTCGAAAAATCGTGGAAAGCTGTTCAGAGGAATATGGAAGAGGTCGGAATGAACACACTATTAAGGTAAACATCAGTAAACTGTTTGGAACGTCTTTGATCTACCTAAGATATGAACATATCAGATGTGTACAATTTAGGTATATATATACATGTATGAAGAAAGCACCTCAAAAGAACAGGTTTGTATTTTCTTTTCATTTTTCCTTTTTTCTTTCATAGGAACTGTTGGAGATAAATCGAAAACGAATTGTTATTTTTTACAATCAGCAATAAAGAATCGTCGAAAATATATCTCTATAGAATAAAGAGGGTCATAAAACACCTGGACATCCAGATAACCGACAGCCCAAGAGATTGCTGGTCTCTTGCCGGCCCGCAAGACCGACTCGGGCGGTCAGTCTTGTGAACCTCCCTTTCATAATTATGTCTAGGGGCCGTCGCCTCGACCAGCTTTGTCGAAGTAAATCCTGCCATATCTCGCTAGGATCATTAATAAATAATGTACGATTCATTTCACTCTCAGCTGTCACTGAAGCTTATCACTGATATGTTTTTCTTCCTGTCAATAATCGATAATTGCTTTTTCGTCTGGTTTAGTTTAATTGTTGCGTATATATTCCAAAGGCAAAATCATCACCCTTTCCATATTCATGTACTCTCTTTAAAAGTACATGGCAAGTTAAAATGTACTTACATTTTTCCTGTAGAATCTTTTTGTGGTATTTCCCCTATTCGGGGCTGAACACGAATCTACCTATTGCCATTTTTCTACATAATTTTTCATCAAACAACCAAACAATATTAGTGTAAGTGGCTGAATAAATCAATTTCCAGCTACCCATATGATTTAATTACGAAATCTCAGTTTTTCCGGAACATGGTTATGCTCGAATATGGCGGTTGCCGTGGTAACGCCTGTAACTCAAGAACACTTTTTAAATGAGAAAGTGTAAAAACATACAGAACTGTGGAAATATATCCTTGCTAAAAGTTTGATTACCATCCTGATCTTGATCATTAAAAGATATATTTGTGCCAGAATATTGACGTTTCTGTGGTAATGTAATGGATGCATTTGGTATTTCAATGGGTATAACAGTTAGCGCTTCATCAAAGGACAAAAAGGGAATGTTATTTAACTATCAAAGACTGGAATTCAACATACCAATGGACAAAATATCGATATAAGACTTGAAAAGTCAAAATGTTTGAAAGATAAGATGCTTTACAGTAGAGGGAAGCTATATTTTAATTGTCATAGACTCGAACGAAAGGTAAGCTCGTGAACAGAAAATATAAAATGTTTTATAGAAGCTGGCTTATGAATGATCATATTATTTGCAATAATTACGTTAGCTGCAATTTTTTTTTTTTTTTTTAAAGTTCCTTACATCAGAGGAGAGATATGTATTCCAACAGTCAAAGACTCGAATGAGAAGTCTGCTTGAATGTATGGATATAATTTCTAAGATTTGTTATTATAGATTTGCCATAGAAACAGGCAAAGAATAACCACATTATTTGTAATAACTACATTAGTTTCAAAAAGGGGATATAGAAATATATTATATTCTTATACTAGAGGAGAGGTGGGTATTCCAACAGTCAAAGACTCGATGAAAAATCTGCATGTATGGACATAATTTCTGATATTCTTTAAAGAAGATTTCTGAGCCATGAATAACCACAATGTTTGGAATGACTACATTAGTTGTATTTAAAAGGATACAAAATAATGAAAGAAGAGAGAGATTCTTTTCTGCAGAGCGAAGCTTTTGCAGTAGAATGGAGCTATATTCAAACAGTCGAAGACTTGATTGACATGGCTGCACGTATGGATACAAAGAAATATACAATTTTCTTAGAAACAAACTAATGAATAGGCACGATAGGTACAAAAAAACTGCACCAGATTCAAAATTGGGCATAATTATTATGACGTTAATCACCTTCTCATGCTTTTTTAATGATTTATCTACAGATTTAGTTGGGCTCTAGGTTTAAAAATAATGGGCTCATTGAGAATTGAGGAGGTCTGGTAGCTAGAAGCGTGCTACCATGCATCTCGAATGGTGGTAACCTCCGGATGAAGTTCATTTTTCATAGTTACCATGACGATGACAAGGATATAAACATGGTGCCATCTCGACAATAAGAGCGAGATGGAAAGAGGGGAAAAAATGTAGAGTGGTCGGATGATAAGTGTCGCTGCACCATCATCATCATCACAATTAATTTACTCAACTCACAGCTCAGCCGACTCAGTGGAGCGAGTTAAAAGCGAGAAGAAAAGTGTGGCTCGAGTCGCTAAGGTAACCACGTCATATCATTATCAAATTAAATTTCTGTCTGTTTGGGAAGCAGTAATATTCTTTTTTTGTTTTCATATTTTTGTTTTCATAGGTTTTTATTCGTTTCTCTCAAAGAAAATTGTACATTTATAACATAATACATTGGATACAAAATAACAAAATAATTTAACATAGGTCTTTATAAATTTACCAATGATCTTTTACATTTACATACAAAAGTTACACCTCTTCATTTTCCTTTGGAGACAAAAAAAAATTATATATATAAAAAAGGGAAAAAGCTACAAAACACCTACTACCCCCCCCCCCCACCCCACACAACATTTAAACACATAACATGTACAACAGTATACAAAACACACGCTGACATAGAACGAGCAAAAAAAAAAAAAAAAAAAAAAAAAAAAAAAAAAAAAAAAAAAAGAGAAGAGAGGGAGGGTCAGGAAGTTGTATATTGAGAGAAAAAAAAAAAAAAAAAAAAACTGAAAACATTTATTCATTTTTTTGTTTTCATAGGTTTTTATTCGTTTCTCTCAAAGAAAATTGTACATTTATAACATAATACATTGGATACAAAATAACAAAATAATTTAACATAGGTCTTTATAAATTTACCAATGATCTTTTACATTTACATACAAAAGTTACACCTCTTCATTTTCCTTTGGAGACAAAAAAAAAATTATATATATAAAAAAGGGAAAAAGCTACAAAACACCTACTACCCCCCCACCCCACACAACATTTAAACACATAACATGTACAACAGTATACAAAACACACGCTGACATAGAACGATATTGGCGTTATCGATATGGCAAAGATATCGATAACTGCGGAATTGCTTTTTTATAAACATTTCGGATTTACATGTGCAAATTATACACGACGGAATACAATGAATAACACTGTCTACATAAATGTTTTTTTTCTGTCTTCTTTATAAATTCAACTTAGTACATGGCTAAAGTAAAGGGGAAAATAAACCTATCGGTTTTAAGACACTATATACTAGTTGTAGGTACTATTTAACATTGTGACAAGGACTTTTTAAAATGAAGTATTTAATATTTTAACTAAAAATGTAAAAGTCTCTAAAAGGAAATTGTTAGGTTTGTCACGTTCCGTTACCCATTAACGTCTAGTCTCCGACATTAAAGCTCCTTTAAAAGCGATTTAATTATGAGTGTTGTCTCGTCATAAACCCTCAATATCCTTTTGATAAAAACATAAAAATGCACATTGCCTAGTAGAGCTGATTACGCATCTACTTTTTAATTTCTTTGAAGAAAAAGTTCATTATTTGAACAGTATCAAATCTAACGACAAAAATTAAAGGTTACTATATTAATTTGTATTACTAGTACTATTAAAATACTGTTATTACCATAATTTCACTTCTTTGTTCTTGAAAAAATTGAGAATTAGTATTTAAGAATTGACATTAAATGGCTCGAAAACACATTGCTAATCTTTGACGGGTTCTTATACAGACAAAACAATAAAATAAACACACTTCATAATGTCTGATAGATATTTCCAAACAAAATTGCTTACATAATGGCTAAAAAAGGATAAATTTGTATACTCTTTTTTATAATTGTTTTAATTCTTTTAACAATTTGACTCAACAACAGCATAAATTCAACAATAAAATTCTCTGTTCGTCGTTGTATCGGCTTATATTCAGTATGTGTCAGGATTTGGGACTATATAAAAAGAATTCGATCTTCATAACTAGGAAAATATGGCATCAAAAACAAATCTACTACCGCACTTTAAAATAGAGATGATTTTTTAGCCTCTAATAGGTCTTTCATATTAATTCAAAAAAATCATATGGAAGAATGGTTTCGTTCCATAATATTTATGATTGGTTTAATAAACTCTTAATAATTTAGGGAATAAAACAAAACCCACCAATGTATGATGCTCGCTAAATATTATTTTGTGAATATAAAATTAGGTACGATCTTTCAGCAGCATAAATGCTTGGCGGCAATAATTCATTACAGTTGATCACTTGGCTATTTACAATCTTTGTTAATTGTAAATAAAATGAAGACTTGCTGGTTGCTATTGAGTACTAGATTATCACAACCAAGGCCAACGGCGGAAAATTAGAGCAATGATTGAGGCACACGCTTTCGCCATTAATTAGTGAAAATAACGCTGGATCATCAATTACTCTTATTTGGAGGTATTTTAACCGGGGTAGGTTATTGCCATGATGATGGAAATGATATTATCAGCCATAAATATTTGAGGTAGTATTTGGGGTAGGCCAGCGTTGATGTATCTGAAGAAAAGGGGATGGGAAGCCCTGATAGTCGTTGTGATTGCATGGGGCAAAATGTAGATGAGGATAATAATAATAATGATGATGATGATGGTTATTATTATTATTATTATTTTTGTTGTTGTGATTGTCGATCTTTTTTAGTTAAAACTATTGATAATTAAATTAATAAAAATGATAATGTCATTATTGATTGATATATTATTTTCATTGAAATCATGTGAATGTTTATATATTTAATCAAAGCAATATAATTTATATCACAACAAGAGAGCATACAAATCAGGGGAATTATTTTTAAAAGACCTGCGCTAGAAGATTGAATGAGCTATTGCAGGTGTATAAAGAAAATATTTTTCATTTTTGTAAATGAAATATTACTTTAATCCTCATATTCATCAATACTACCATGCCTCATGAAATTACTTCTATATGGGTCCGTGTTATTTTTG